TTGTAATGATGCCAGACTGTGTGGGTCTCAATCTTTTGTGCCTTAAGAATGTCGGCAATTTCTTCTTAGAAAGCCAGAAGCTTAGCCTGAGTTGGCTTGTCCTTTAGGTGTAAGGTAAATCCAGAAGGACACCGTATCACTTCTCTAAGCTCCTGAGGGTAGAGCTTAAGTCTTCTATTCAGTATAAACTTGATTCTATAAGGCTCTAAGTGGCTATTATCCATGCGGACAAAGACCCGGAGGTCATCCTGCTTCTTCTTCAGTTGGTTGGCAGTGATAAGGGCGCCAGGCTGTGTTTTTTTCATGGTAGTGTTGACTGTCCATGGATGCTGTCGTTGGCCAGAGGAGACAGCTTGGGCGAAGGTCATGGTGGGCTTCCCTATCCCTGTCCCGCCAGGAGTGGTCTTTTTTTTGGGCGGATCTCGGGTTTCCAGCCACTCATTCAGGCATTTGGAGAAGAAAGCGCTGAACTCCTTGGCATGAGAGTATAATTCAGTTCCAGCTTTCTTAAGTGTCTTATCGACTGCTGCAGCACACTCCTGAAACATTGTTATCCTGGCTTCATAGAGATGCTTGTCTTTAGCCAGTATTTTGGCAACTTGGTCCTGGCATTCTGAAGAAGAGACTTTGTTCCTTACATCACCTCTAATGACTTGGTCTGTAAGGATTTCGATTGACTGAGGTGATTCCATATCAATGGTGCTGCTATTATTGATATTTCGGGATTTTCTTTTCAGAGGGGAAACAGTGGTGAAGTCAGCCTCAGAGACCTGTGACGGGCTGCTGTTGATGTCGTCGAGCAGTGCTGGCGGAGCCTGCTTGGGGTTGCCGGGCTATATGTTCTTTTAGGGACTGGGGATTTGAACACGCTGCCAGTAGTCGTCTTTGGGACAGCCACTGACGTATTTGGGGGCCTATCATGAAGGGGTGCCATCCAGCTTGTGAGAAAATTTTTCTGTGCCTTGGCAAGGATAGTCAGATACTGAGACAAATGCCTGCTTTAGTGCAGATATAGAGGTTGCGCCCTAACAGTGGGGCGCCAAGAAAAATAGTTGTTTTTGCAAGGTGGTTGGTTAGCGGAACCTAGTTGTTCCGTCCCGATCCAGCCCCCTCTGGCAAAAAGCTGCCACGGTCGCACAGGGACACTTCAAGGACACAGAATACACACATACACTTCAACCTCACGATTGGCTCAAATCTAACAGCCCCTGGTGATTGCTCTCACCTGTTACGTTTTGATAGATCCCATGTCTCCTGCCCCGATCCTGACTACCATCGATCAGAAGATCATCGTCTGCGGACGTGCAGGAAAGTGAATGATTCATTTTATCATCAAGCTCTTCAGCCGTAAGGGAATGAGTCCGCATCAATCGCAAATCCCAATGCGAGAAGTCGCTCGCGAGCGGTAGAGGGACCAAAGCATGATGCCTCTGATACTGGTACTCTTATAGTTCTTGGACATAGAGTGACGTGGTAAGCCCAAGATAGATGGCATTCATATCGAAGAAGTGAGCTGTTAAATAGTGCGGATATGGTTCATATAGTTGATATTCGTGTATATTGTTGCTGAATCTGATGAATCTGTTGTTGTGAAGTCTCTGCTGATGCTGCTAGGTGGTCCCAAGATGCCCTAATACCCCTTTTCAGTGCACTGCCACCTCCCTGACGCCACGATGGCTTGCGTGCCATTCAACACGAGCCTCAACTTTGTACGACGGCGGTGCCCCATCGCCGTGTCTCAAGACCCCTGCTTCTGCCAACCAGACATGTGCTTCTACTTAGAGCCCGACAATACGTTACCATCCGACCCCCCGAACCGGCACACCCCCACTACCGGCACAGCCAAACCCCGCCACCACCACCAAAAGACCCCCCTACTCACTTACACGCATTTGAGGCTGTATAGGGTCGAAAAAATCAGCAAAATTATCATTCTGTGGTGTTTTGGCTGCTCAATCAACGTATCTAGCCGGCGCCCGGATTGACCGCCCAGATCTAGTCATCTGGGCTTTTGCAACAGGGGCTTCTACAGCCTCCTCAGCGTCCGCAACCTCCTCGTCCTCCTCCACCCCGTCTTCAACAACCTCCGACTCTGAAGAAGAAGAAGAAGACTCTACAGCAACCGGAACTAACGGATTACCACCCTGGGCTAGTATTTTTACCATTGTCATGAACTTTTTGTTGGGATTTAGTATCTTCTTCCTCTTCTTGGGCCGTAGCCGCTCCAGTTCAGCCTCCAGGGCCCTGATCTTCTGGTCTTTTATGGCCAGCTCCGTCTCCTGGTTCTCAAAGGCATGGGAGATCTTCCGGAACTTCAGCCAAGTGGCTGGGGATCGGTTCTTCCCAAAATCCCGGATTTGCCGGCTCGTGGTAGGGGTCTGTTGGTCCTCCGGCTCCGAGTCTTCCTGTTCTTCCGGCTCGGGGGTCTTCCGCTTGTCTTCTTGGATTTCTGGATGGTCTAGACACTTTTTGTGGCTAATTGGGTAGCACCCCGTTACTCGGAAGCCCGAGCGGATGTTTTTTGGCGTAAACGCCATGTCCCTTGCCTTGCTATAACAGCGGATAAAGTTGATCTTATTAACAGGAGAGGAACCAGTCAGAGAATTTAACTGGGTAAGGAATCTCTGGTAGTAGGACTTGAGGGCGTTATAGGGGCCGTTATCCAGTGGTTGCATTCCATAGCTGGTATGTGCTGGGAAAAAGCATAGCAAGATATTGGCAAAATAACACCGCATCATAAATTCGTCCTTTCTACAGTCAATTACTGTTTAAATCGGAATAAATTAAATAACCAGTAAATAAAATAGAAAAAATTGGTGTACGTACGGAGGTATGGCTACCATGGCCATCTAGGATCAAAAGGACTGGTTCCCACTGCTCCTGGCCACGAATTTCATCTACTTGTGGTATGAAAACGTGCTCAAGCCACTGGCAGGCGATATCGTTACTGGTCCAGCCGTTTTCCGACGTTATATAGTACCAGTCGGCTATCTTCTGGAATTCCTCGAGGAACCACTGTGCTTGAAGATCTTTTCCCTTGAAAATCAAGCCTGGTTTGAGTACTCTACCGGTAGCTGAAATGGTCTCGATGAAAGATGTCCACGAGCGGCCCTGGGGGCTCTTTAGGAAAGCTTTCCTCGTCTCAGAACTTCCCAGAACTAGGGAATCGATGCCTATAAGGGTAGTTAGTTGACTATGAGGGTAGGGGGCTCGAAAGAGTTACCAAAACCCGACATGATGCCGCCCTTATCGACATTGTACGTATTTTCTGGCTTCACCCAGCCGTAGTCCTCCAAGATGTTGAAGAACCAGTTCACAGACTTAGGGGTAAACCCCTTAAACCGAGCGGATTCCATTCGCTTGCCGATTTTAGTCTGAATGGTAGGGTTGCGTCGTTTAAAGCTGTCCATATAGTGGTTCCCAAGTGGTGCGAAATCCCCCTTTCTTTTTAGGAGTTCTATCACAATTTCCCTGACGGCTGAGTGAGAAGGGGCAAGCCCCAAAGTCTCCTGGCGCAATATCCAGGCTGCTACCTTGCTTTCTTGCTCGGGAGAAATTCTCTGCTCGGTGGTGTGAGCCTCCGTTTTAGTCCCTCTCCCCCTTATGCGTGCTGACAGCGTGCTGGCCGGGACGCCGTATTTTTGGCTAGATTTTCTCACGGACATGCCATTATCTGTGACGTCTAGGTAGGCATCCACCACATCATCCTCTGTATACGTGGGCGGAGGCATCGTGGCTGGCTTCAGGATGCTGTGGTGCATGAGGGACAGGGGCTCACAGAGAGAATTCTATAGCAAATTTGCATTTAAGGGCGGGGCACAGAGGCTGCTAAATGCCGATACCGATGGCCCAGCAATTAAATAATCTACATTCCGCTAAACACCAAGAAAAGGGCTATCTAACCATCTAAAGAAAGTCTAGATACCCTCAAAAAGGGCTGTAATCCGTGTAAGTGAGTAAGGGGACTTTTGGTGGTGATTGTGGGGTTTGGCTGTGCCGGTTGGGGGGGTGTGCCGGTTCGGGGGGTCGGATGGTATTAGCCCAGTTCCACACCACTCCGACCACATTCCTGTGGTAGCTTCCTGTGGTAGCTACTTTCTTCTCAAGTCTCGCCCACTTTCTCGCCTAGATCACCGGGCCTTCGTGGCATCGCGCAAGTCATAGACGACCTTTACTCCGTACGGCACTCCGCCCCCACAGACGAAAGATGCACGTACTTCCCACATGTTACCCAGCTTCTACCCGAACATCGCACATAGTTCCCAGTACCTCCTCTGGATCAATTGTGCTGGTGCGTTGGCCCGCGGTTTCCAGACTTGAACCTCGCACCTTGCAAATTACAAATCGCTGCTGCCTTCCCACTATCATCACTCGCCTCCCACACACATGACCACCAGTCCCTTCACAAGCTAAAGAAAGACACATCCTTCATATTTCTCGCCTCGACACTTCAACTCTCCATTATCCTGCAACCGTTTTAGGTACTCAATTGACGAGGAAGCAACGCGCAGGTCCTCAGATTCTCGAGCCTGCCATCAGGACCTCACACCTGATAGCGCCACTGCACTTACGCGCCATCTGATCTTCAACTCCGAAGGTCGTCTCCAACATCCAACGAAGACACAAGTCCAGCTGATTTGCTCCTGTTATCACTTCAGTTCTTACAAGGCTAACCGCGTGAGTACCGCTAAGAGAGCTGGCCACGACAGCCGACATGGACACCACAAATATGCACCCAGTCGCCATCTTGCTCAAAAGCCTGCCTAGTCCGTACGAGGACAGGAAACTGGATAGCGATATTCGGCGTAACCGATACCAAACCGCTCTAGTCAAGTTTCAGGCCGCCGCGATGCAGCCGCGATTCGAGCGTGACCCGCTTTGCTTGTCTTTTGCGGCGACTTGTGCAGGCACACTGAATGCTACTTATCCCAGCGGTGCCGTTCCCTACACGGCAACGGCGTTAGTTTTGCAGTCGTGGCTGGCTAGTGGTGTCGTCCGAAATGCGTCTGGCCTATTTCATCCCCGAAGAGGTTCGCAACTCGGAATACCTTGCCTACATGATGTGGGTTGTTCAAGGCCGTCGCGATGCCGAATTTCCACCCGCCTCTCACAAGCTCCATGTCGGCATTGCTTGCGATAGAAAACAGTCGTGCGATTACCTGCCCGAGGAGCTCACCACCGCCAAATGCTGTACCCAGTGCGGTGCGTCGTCTGCCTCATTGCGATGCAGCAGATGCTTGATCACAGAGAACGGCCATCCTGTCATTGTAACCTCCTATTGCAACGCCGACTGCCAAAAGGCGCATTGTAGTTCCCACAGGAAGGTGTACAAGCCCTTGCAGCGCCTCAATCGCGCCGTCCACCTTGCACGGGATCTCTTCGCAGCCGCCGCTGAAGTGACGTGGATGAGTACACCAATCCGTAAGGTCACTACCCATGATGGCATGGTGGCAGTATCCTGGACACCCCCACGCCTCGAATCCTGCTTCCGTGGGAATTTGCCGTCACATCGTTTGACCGAAGTCACTTCGAAGACCATAACCACGCCATGGCCGTTCTTCACGACCTGGGCGAGGAACGCTCTTTCAATGCTGCGGCAGGACTGGCTATCCTCAACGCCTTCATCACACGTGAGCATCCCCACACCCGTTGCTCGTCAACAAAGCTAAAGAGTACAGCACTATGCGACGGGATTCAGGAGATTTACGTTCTCCCCAAGAACGCGTTGTTCGGCTATGAGAAGGAAACTTGCAGCGAGCGAGAAGTTGCGGGGCAATTCAACATGTTGAAACATCATGGTCTTTTTGTTGCCTCGCTGGGTTCGCAACTGAAAGTCGCCATCGACTTCGCGGGAGAACAGTTCGGCTGGCAGGAGCCAATGGTGTCATGGAACCACTTCGTGCAGCATCGTTGCGAGAGGATCATCGACGTGGCCGATAAAACTGGAGGACTCAGCCGAGTTGTCATGAAGGAGTACGCCTCGGATCAGCCTTTGTATGCTGCCCTCAAGATACGCCAAAGCGTCACGACCGCGATGATGAACGCGATTTTGACCTGGATGAAGTCTCGTAACGTGTCGTTGCAGGATCTCCTAAGCAAGCCAGACGATGCATTCGACGAACTGCGAACGACAATACTGTCCAAGGCCAAGGAAGAGTGCAACGCAGAGGTTGCGCGGCTCCGGGACAGGGGACTGTACAGACACTATGGGGGTCCTCGCGTTGGCAAGCGCATGACATTGACAAAGGAGAGTGCCAACAGGATGAAGAAGGTCTGGCTGACGGATGACGAGATGAAGCTCTTCGATGGCGAGTCAGCCGAGGATAGACTGATGTACCTGGCGTGGCTGTACGAGAATAAGGCCAATAAGCAAGGTGTCAAGATATAGACCACTGGAATGGTCTGGTAGTTTGAGGCCTGGGGTTGGGGGCCTCGCGTACTGCTACTCAGAGGGCAAAATCAGGTATAGTGATCGCCTAAGAGATTGGGCATTGCAGACTAGGTGATTTGGTATTGGGCGTGTGCACCACGTTGGAGGTGGTCTCTGTTCATCCTGAATGGATTTCAAGATAGCTACTCGGCGCTGGATGAATAAGAACTCGCCCACTGATGACAGTCATCGCGTCGCTACTCGAAGCCGACACCCTATCTCATACTCTTTTGGTGGGGTTTGTGAATTTACCGTTCTCAGAGAGGTCGTCTCCAAAGAGTAGACTTTTAGAGAAAACTCCAAGTCCAATTACTCGCAGTGCCCTCGAAGTGTGAGTAGGAGCAAGCCACTCAGACCCAAATTCCCAAACGACAGGTATCCTCCGAACAGTTTCATGCATGCACTCTTTTCAGCGGTAGTGCCCGATCTACTTTCTGTGATGCCTATGACTCGGAATGGGACATGAACCGCTCCATCCGCCATGGGCATGCCTTCGCTGTTGCTAAACGCGGTCTCCCTGAGACCGCCGAGACCAACATCGCTCATCACCGAATCGTATCGCCATGCTGGGCAGCGAAGGTACACCAACACCGCGAGAACGTCGAATTGATCCGAGAATAGAAAATAAACATTATAACACATCCAAAAGGCAACCATCGCACACTCCTTCAACTCCGACATTACACACCCCAGCGCCATAATAACCCTATCAAGCCCTCAATCTTCCCTAGATTCCCCGCCCAAAAGATGCCAGCATTATGAAGTTAGGTTTGTAGTTATAGCTCTAACTCGCAGTCGGTAGGCCAATCAGGACACCACCACATATGGCTGTCGACCGCGCCCCATTGCTCGCAGTCCCCCCCGTTGGGTATGCTCCTGCAGAAGCTGTTGCAGTCCTCCAGAGAGACCCGGCTGTAGCTGGCAGGGCAGTCGGGTACGTTCTCGCTGTTCGGGTAGGTCAGCTCTCGTTGTTTGTTTGGATGGGTGAGTATTCGAGCAGGAGTCAGGGTTCGGCGAGTTGGGCGGCCCAGCGGGCTGGTAAAACTGGTGCATGAACGGGGGAACACGTACCGTTTGCTGGGCCTGGCGGCGCCGTAGATCGGGGGGTGCGCGGGGCTCGCCAGGGCCAGGCCGAACAGGACGGCGGCTTGGGCGGTGGTGAAGAACTGCATGTCCGCTATGTCTGTGTCTGGTGGATTGGCTGTTGGCTTTTGGCTGTTGGCTGGCGGGTTGGTTGTCAATTGTGGTCTGGATGTATGACTTGTGGTGAAGAAGCCGACGAAGATTCCGACCTCGTCATCCCCTTATAAGACATGATCTGACACTCGCGCTCGTACCCTTGAACTTCAAGCTTCCTTCAAGCTTCCTCCATGCCGTCAGACGTGTGCGTCTAAAGTCCAAGGATCGCGAAGGATTCCAGGCTACAGCAGTCACTCTGTCACTGTAGGGCAGCGTAGGGCTCGATCGCATGATTTGATCCCAGCCTCTCAGGGGTCTGAATTTTAGCTTGTGGGGGAGGGATTCTATATTTGGGCCATGCGGCGGAGACGTTTGTCTATTTTGACCGACCATAATCAATTTGATGGCACATCTCCGCCGCGGCACCTCCTCCAGCAGCTTTATTTCAAGTTGCTCCCTCGGATCCTGATAGGATTGTCGCAGCCTTATCATCACATACTGAAAATATCAGGACATCCAAGGCGGACATTCCCCAGTGGTAGACTGAGCGTCGGATGTGGAGCCAAGAACTCCAACTGCTTGATAGCACGGGGTCTAAGAGAAGCCTCATTGGGAACACAAGGACTCTAAATGTAATAACTATAGCACTGATCAGCTTGAGGATTGAAGTTGAGCCCGCGGATGGATGCTATTTTTGTGCATTGCATTCGAACCGCATCCTGCCACGAGCCTGCTGCGTATCATCCTTCGCTGTCGGGACCGCGACTCCATTGCGATGTACCCACTATACGTATCGGAGCCGCACCTTTGACGGAATGCACTAAGTCATATCAACTCCGCAGTTTGGATCAAGACTCGGGCCGAGTATATTATTACCAGAGGATCCCCGAGAAGGGGTTGATCCTCCCAGCTGGAGCCCATCGCGCATTGCCGCGGCCATGTGCACAGGAGGTGAGGTGAAGTCGCACTGACGATAGGGACTCTTCTCCCGAACTTTCCGTTCCGCACAGCTAGAGAGATGTCCGATTATTTCATAGACGTGCTGGGACTCTGCGCATGATGACATACGAGCCGCAGGGGAAACATGCTTAGAAATCGGGAAGTGGGAATCTCTATCCGGGCGTGCGAAGGCCGAGTTCCCGGCTATCTCTCTGTGGAACCAGGTCCGCAAAATTACTGTCGTTCTCCGCGTGCTCGGGCCGATGTTGTGACTTGCCATCCAATGGCGTCGGACATTAGTTACGGAGTTGGCACCACAGACTCGACGAATCCGGAACGGCAGGCATTTGACAAATCGACGTGTTGAAATGGGAACGAAAAATGCAGAAACGCCATTAGAACATGGGCTATACAGAATCAACTCTTGACACATGTCGAAAGTATACAGTATGACACTAACCTTAGCGGCTTCCGTACTTGTAAAACTGCATGCCGTCGAGATTTAGATTCCGTGCCGTCGAGGTTTAGGTTCTGTGCCGTCGAGATTCATTGTGCCGTCGGGACCTTATGTACTGTGCCGTCGGAACTGGCCGACCTATTAGAATGGCATGCCCTTTCGTCTGTACAGTGGCATAACCTCCCACGTGGCTGCATCCACACCAGAAGGAAGGTTTCTTCGGCGCATCTGTCAACAACTTGACGGGACCAAATTTTGTGGTCAACCCTATCCCAACCACATGTACAAGCTAAACAGAAGCGACGACGATCGGGGGGAGGAAATGTACAGGTCGTTATCGGGTGAGAGTCGGTCGAGCTTACCGAGATCTCCCAAGTGCATCACCACACCTCGGTAAAGCCATCGCGGGAAGATCTCATGGCGGTAAGATCTCATGGCGGTAAAGATCTCTTTGTGTCACACACCCACACCCACACCGCATTCACTGTTAGTTCTGGGAACATTTCAATTGACTACCTACCCAAGTCGGTCGACGGCTTGTAAACCCAATGACATTTGCGAGTCTATATCATTATTTCATGGAAACCCAAAGAATATGTCCAAGCAACCACCGCAATTTCAAGTATTGCACCCACTGGTGTTGTACGCACCATTTTTCTGGTTCCAGTCCGCGCACGGCTCCGTGAAGTTGTTGAAAATGGCACCCTGTGCGCTCAACCCATTTCCATCCGGGTTGATCAGGGAGCCCGGTGCGTCGATGAAATAGGCGTAGCGCTGGATGTAGGGCACGGCGTCCATCCACTGCTCCGTCTCCTGCATGAAGAATTCGATCTGGGCTTCGGGGTCATAGCTTCCGTCGCTGCCGTACTCGGTGACCCAGATGGGCTTGCCGAACATGGCATACGCCGTCTGCATGTACGACTGGAAGTAGTTGAAGTTATAGACGCTGCTGTACCAGTGCAGGTTGATGAAGTCGATCTGGCAGCCTGTGCAATTACCGATGAACCAGTCGAGGTATTGCAAGCCCTGCGCGGCTTTTATACTGCTCGACACGGCAGGAGCGCCGAGCTTGGCTTTGCCGGCGAAGGGTTGGAAGTACTTCTGGAAGCCGGCGACGGACTGCGGGATGGTCATACAGGCGGAGCCAGCGTCGCAGAGGTCCGGCTCGTTGAACGACATGAGTGAGTCTGCACCGTTGTTGATTGCTGCCTGCGCGCCTCCGTTCAGCCAGAGAGAACCGGTATAAGTGTCGTCGCCGCGGAACAACATGGGGATGAATGTAAGCGCTGGGTTGAAGTCTTTGTTGGCTGACATGCCCCCCGGACCCGATGCGGTGCCGTTTGGGCCGTTGGTTGCGGGAAGGTAGTAGTAGTTGTATGCCCAGCTCACTTGAGAATTCTGGCCGGCCTGGGAGTAGGGTAGGGTCAAGGTACCGTTGGTGTAGACGAGACCTCGCTTGCCAGCGTTGCGCACGTACACGGTACTCGAGGGAGACGCGCTTGACGCTGTTGTGCTGGATGAAGTTGTGCTTGACGATGTGATGCTTGACGACGTGCTGATCGTTATCGACGTCGAAGTCGTGCTGGAAGTTCTGCTCACAGAAGAGGACGACGAAGAAGACGCCAGCGTAGCCAGCACCGCAGCATCAACTCCGCTGTTCGATCCACCTCCGTTGCCAATGGAACTCTTGAGGTAGCAGGTACCGGCACCACTGCCGCCGACATATGAAAAGGCGACGCAGCCTGTAGTTTGAAAACAGGCAGCAAAGCAATTACTGAAGCGATTGGCAGAGACGGCTTTCAAGTCATTGCCGTAGTAGTCGTAGGAGCAAGACACTTTATAGGTGCCACCATTGACGTCGGTATAAGCGCTCGGCAGCGCCAAGCAGGGCTGTCCGGAGGCAGAGGCAGAAGCAGAAGATGTCGAGGTAGTCGTCGTTGTAGTGGTCGATGGTAGTAGGCGGGCTCCCCAAACGCCGTTACTGACCGCCGCCCCCAGACTGGACTTGAGATAACATGACGTGCCAGAGAGGCTAACATCGACGCAAGCCGAATTCAGGGCGCAGTTATCGATACATTGCTGGAGATTGTTAACTTCCACTGTCATGGAGGTCAGGTCACCGTCGGCATGGTCCTTCACTTTGTCAGCAACGTTCATCTTTTTACGATCAAGCGAGCTAGACTTACGGTGTTGCATTCGATGACGAAAGACTTGCCATTGGAGACGATCGTCAGCCCGTTGCTTACCGGACAACTGACCGCAGCGAAAGCACCGCAGGCCAAGGTGGCGAGGATCAGGGTCCCTGTTGTGCTGTGCATCGTGCTGCAGGTGGTGGTGGCAGTGTAGTTGCAGGAGCTCCGACAAGTGGTCGGAGGCTAGCAGACGCAGTCGTCGACGTGGCTGTCGCTGTTGGCCACGGGCTCGAGTTGAAGCCAGTTCTTGCTCTGTGTATGGATGAGGACGAGGAGCTTGGAAGGCCATGATTCGAGGTCAAGGTAGTACTTATAGTCGCCTTGGTCGTCGCTCGCACACAGGACGTTGATTCAGACGCCGAGGTCGACGAGGTTGGAGTTAACGTTACCGACGAGTTACCGACGAGTTACCGACGAGTCAACGACGAATTAACGACGGACTAGATTTAGCTCCTGGGCCTGAGACATGGCCAGAGTCATCACATGGTAAGACAGAGCTGGACATTCGCACATGTTCGTCCGTCGAGCTATGGATGGTGCTACTAGAATCCTTCACCATGCTAGCGGTTGCGATGCGGAAGGACTGCGGAAGTGGCGTGCCAAGTGGCGTTCCAAATGAAGGTTCAACGAGCTGGAGAAAGTCGGTCCCATGTGAAGTAACCAACCCCCTGGGTAAGGGAAGCAAGAATGGTTGGTGAAACGTTTCCTCCATGTGGCCGTCCCTCGCTCGTGACGATGACCCTATGGTGGCAAGGACACCCAGTAGCTTCCATGCGCCACCATAATTTCCATACGCAAATGTTACCGAAAGCGGTGGCCGTTTATGGGTACTGCGTAATTGTGCTGAAACTCTGCTTCGTACTCTCCATTAGTGTGATCTTGGGTCTTTCCCGCTTCAGGACGACGAGGGTCTCAGCAGGCGGCAAATTCGTGAAAAGACGCCGTCAGATGCGATACCAGGTGGTTCTTATGGCAAGACGAGACGATTTTGCCGCACACATGCACCGGTAGTAGGAACGGTGAAGCACGGCAGGTGTATATATGGGCGGACAATGGTCTGACTATCATCTCGACCGTGTCTGTCTATAAGCTGCTTCTGAATGTGCAGTAGCAGTTGTTTTGTTACATGGCGACACTATCATGCCACGCACACGAGGGAGTCATGGGAGCTTGGTCAAGCAGTACGACGCAAGCAAAAAGTGGTCTGGTTCTTCGCTTAGATATTCTATCATCTTGTTCGATACAATTCACCCTTCGTATCACAGCGCGCTGAACAGAGCCATGCCAGTTGAAAACAAGAAGGATCTCAAGTAGCAATAGTGGTCTCAATCTTGTATGGTCTCGGTATAGCTACATCGTGGACGATATAGTGGCGCGGTGTTGCTTTGATGCCGATACTGACCAGAAGGAGTCGAAGACCACCGCACTAGTTGGCCTCGGTGGAAACGACATTATTAACAGAAGAGTTGCTGTCGACCATTGCAAAGACCCAGTTGAAGATGTCGGTCTCCTACTCAACATCCTAGATGGGGTTTCGATTGTGCAGCTTTGTAAGGACACATTGTCTTTTAACTGGTTACTTTCTATCCCCGAACTTCAACAATGTTGGTCAAATATCACATCATAATCTCCTTGTCCAGCAGTGACTGTCCACCAACCGCTCGGCATCAGCTGCGTATCACTGCACACCGATTTACTCTGTTACTCGCGAATATAACAGATCGATTGTACAGTGACAGTTGGTTATCGCAGCGTTGGCCGGTGTGTGCCATGCCGAGCATTGACATGTATGGGACATCATTGCCCATAAGATCTTGGGTCTTGCCGTTAAAAATTCGATCCAGGATAGGAATGAAGGACCTCGAAAGATGCTCGTGAAGACGGCGGCATAATGCAGGCGAGGTCAGCAGAATATTGCGGAAATTTCGCTTCACTAGGTACTGGTCATACGCGGGACAGGTCACTGAGCAACCAAGATAAAATATATATTCACCCGGCGTGATCCACCATACGACAGAACCCTTCTCCATTCAGTCGCTGACTGATGCACCATCACTCCGGCATCCGCATTTCTACGACTCTCCCGATCCAGTCCTCTTCTGAAGTCTTGCGTCTCGCAGGCCACCACCAGTTCCTTCGAACCATCACGCCACCTGCTCCTCTGCAGCTCCCATCTCTACCCAACAGTGCTTCAGCTTTCCTTTCTCCTTCTTCAAACCAGACAATACATTTGTCGTCACGTCGACTCAACCGGGACACGCTCAAGATGTCAGCACCCGAGCAGCCCAATGCGGCGGGCATACCTAGGTGACCCGACCAACCCAGCAAACCAAGGAGAAGACATCCGCGAGGACGAGAGCACCAGTGTTTTCGTCAGCAACCTTCCGAGCGACTGCCTCCCAACCCACGTCCTCATGCAACTCCGCGGAGTAGGAAAAATCTGGGCCTCAAACTTCATCCCGCCCCAGGCACCATACACCACGGCCGCAAGCAAAATCGTCTTCTGGGATCGAGACGGTCTCGACGCGTTCTTCGCAAAATGGCGTCACGGTGACTTTATCGTATCGGGCCACCGACCTCACGTCGTGATGAACTGGTTCCGGACGTCTTCGAAGCCGCCTTCCGACGAGTCGCGCGCACTTACGGTTACCGGTCCGCCTGAGATCGTCGAGCTGTTCCGGCTGTGCGAATTTTTACAGGCGCACTTCCACTTTGAGCTTGAAGACATGATCGAAATGCCCGGCGCGCCCGACGAAGGCCAGACGACAATCGAAGTGCGATTTGCTTCGTGGCGAGCTCAGGCCTCCAAGGCTTGGAGTGTTGTCCGCAAAGCTATTGCTGGTGTCGAGATGCCGGAGACACCCATGACGGAGCGCGAGAAGTACCTCTGGCGATCTGTCACGGTCGATTGGGCTCCCGACCCCAGCGCCTGAAAATGCACGTTCGACCAAGTTCCCAAGACCTCTCGCAGGAGGCAATCCTTCTTTCAGATCACGAAAGTCCCATCCGATGGGCATGATGAAGCCTCCCTTGAGGACGTTATCAACTCAAGTGCGAAGAGAAGTACCCAGAAAGAGTATGGTAGGTCATGTCTCCGCCTCTGTCGGCTGGAATAGGTGAGCACTTGCCTATCGTTTTCTCCTCAGGCTGGTACGGAATACTCATCGACAACTCGTCGTGGCCATGCTTCTGACGCGTCGCCAGAGCCTATCACCCGACGCAAGACAGAGCGCCATTTACGTCCCGACTCTTCTTTCCCTTCCATACATGGTTTCCCAAGTTCAAAAGTTCGTGTCGCAAAATTCCGACGACAACACAGCCGCAGGTCATTGACGATGACGGTCTGGTTCCCCTGGCTCCGAGCTTTCCAGGATCATCACAGACGCAGAACGCGTCACCGGCCCAACAGGTATCAAGATGGACGCGAAGGCCGGCTCAAACCGATAATTCGGCAGCTATCGTTGCCACGCCGCTAAGCGTTGTCGCAGGCCGAAAGCGAAAGACAGTGTTTGGGGAGAACTGGTCATCACCCAGGAGATCTCTTCGCCTAGCTGGGTGTGCCAGATGCGACAGTATTCTGGCACAATAGCGAAAGCAAGGGATGGGTGAATTGATGTTAGGCCAGGTAGGTAGCCTCTGGAAGTGCCGGACAGACAGATAGGCTACCGATACCAGATAGACCATTAATCATACACCATACACCCAGATCGAGTCTAATAATATAGTACCTTAGAATCCAGCTCCGGGCTTTGAGCATGTGCCGTGAGAAAGACCCAAGGTCACACTAATAGAAGGTACGAAGCAGGGGTTCAGCGCAATTAAGGTATGCAGTACCCATTAACGGCGATCGCATTCGATGCATTCGCGTATGGAAATTCGGTAGTGCATGGAACGTACTAGGTGTCGTTGCCAACTCGGGTGGTCAATTGAGACGTTCCTTAAAACTGATAGTAAGAACACATCATAGAGAGCTTCAGGGGCCGAGTGTATCATCGTGTAAATCCAGCAAATGCAGCTTATAGACAGACAGGGCCGAGATGATACTCAGACCTTCTCCGCCCATATCCCTGCCATGCTTCACCGTTGCCGCTACCGGTGCAAGTGCGGCAAAGTCGTCTCGTCTTGCCGTAAGGACTGGTGGCGGTGCAGGCCGATGAGCCTATTATTTTGAGCCTGACACAGTAAGCAAGCCAAGCCCTCCATCCTCCCAGCTAAGGTCCAGAGGCCGCAAATTCAGCCAACTCGGCAGGTCTGGACGACAGCTGCGCGACCCGATGGAGCAAGGTTTCTCGCCCAATCGGGAGTGTTCGACACACACAACATGACGTTGCTTGCAGATGAACAGGGCCGGATCGTTGCAGAAAACAGAGGTAGTCAAGGTTGTTTATCCAGCGGGTTCCTGTAACAAAGCTTTCTGGAAAGGGTAGGCTGGGAATCTGGCAATTGGTCATTTGGCTATCATTCTACTTGATCTGGTCGACGAAGAAACTGTCGACTCGACCTCGGCCTACTTCCCATTTCCCTGACCCGCCATCTGTGCAAACCCCGCCAGCCTCCTGACCGAACCGCGACTTCCTCCGGATAACATGGCCAAACTTGTAGAACATAACTAGGCAGGGGACGAAGAACAGCGCCAAGAAACCCGGGACACTCGAAGCCCAATGTATGCCTTGATTCCAATAAGCGAAGTCCAAACACACAACCGAATAAGACAAAGTAGATAGAGATAGAACACTTACCAAGCGAATCATACATCTGCGCCGTAAAGAGCGGGAACACAGCCCCGGCAATGGACCTAAGCACGGTGCTCGCCGCCAGCGCGGACGCCGCATAGCCCAGGTACGCATCGACGATGTAATTGGTGATGCTCATGTACAGCAGGACCATGCCAAAGCCAAACAGCAAGCCGGCGCTGACGCTCACCAGCCAGAAGACGCCCGGGTCGTTGGTCCACGCGAACCAAAAGAGCCCGATGGGCAGGGCGACGGAGCCGAGCATGGCGGGCGGCAGGCGCGCCTCGGGGGGCGCGAAGCCGCCCCCTTGCGCAGCGACGACGCGGGCGTAGCGGCGCTGGTCGACGGCCGCGACGTACACGAGCGCTAGCACGACGCCGAGCGCGATGGCGAGGAAGGGCAGCGAGGCGGCGCCTTGTGGCCAGCCGCGAACTTGTTGGTAGACGATGGGATGGGCGGCGAAGAGAAGGAAGAGCGTGCCGTGCACGACAGAGAGGAAGAGCGAGAGCAGGGTGACGATGGGCTCGAAGAAGAGGATGACCCAGGGGCGCAGGGCACTGACGCGCAGCTGCACGCCGATGGTCTTGGGCTCCTGTGCGCCGGCGACGGCGTGCGACATGCCGGCGATCTTGGCGAGCTTGGCGGCGCGACGCTGGAGCAGCACGGCGGAGTAGGTCTCCGGGAAGGTGAAGAAGAGCACGCACCAGGTCGGGAACGCGGCGCCAACGATGAGGACGGCGAGGGAGCGCCAGCCGTAGGCGGCCACAAGGAACCCGCACGCGATGGGGCCAAGCATCTGCCCCATTAGGCCGGCGAGGGTGATGATGCTGAGCACGAGTCCGCGCTCCTGGCTCTCGAACATGTCGGCGATGACGGCCGGCGCCACGGCCTGGGTGAAGGAACCGGCGATGCCGCCCAAGAATCGAAATATCAGCACTGGGGCAATGGAGGGTACTAGGCCGGTAGCACCTGAAAACGTGACAAAGGTGAGGAACGTCCAGACGTAGAGCTCGCGACGTTCGTATACCTCGCTGAGTGGAGATAGGACGAGGGCCCCGACTGCGAAGCCAAGGACGAAAAGGGATGTGAGGAGGAGGGCTACCGTCTGACCGACGTTGAACTCGGCTTTAATCTGGCTTGTTCCTGATGATGGGTCAGCTTGGAGATCACTAACAGACCAAGGGGACGATTCCTACCTTGTGAGAAGCCGGATGAAGCGATGGAGACAATGAACACTGCAAACGCAAGGATCATGGAGTTCGCCCATTTCTTAGAGTTGGAAAACTTCATGGGGTTGGCGGGATCGTTCTCGACCCACTCGACCAGGTATGGTTCTTCAGATGTGCCGTACCCCGGAAAGTCATGCTTGAGGATGTCGATAGAGACGAGCGACGGTTCAGCCTGGGCAAGCTGGGCCTTGGTGGGTGGTTGTTTCCATTTGCTCTTCTCATCTTCGACATCGAAATCCTCTGACCAAGGATCGGACCCTCGACTGATCCAAGACTGTCTTTTCTCAACATCGAAGGAGCCGTCCCACACCTGTGCGTCGTCTTGCTTGGGTAGATCATCGACCCAAATCGTACGCTGGCCGATGCGGTGTTCACCTGGCCATATGTGCTGTTTCCGGGGGCCTTCGGGAAGTAGAGAGTCGCCGACCAGCTGGCTCATGCGATTTGCCCGGGCCTCAATGTCGAAGGCACCTGTCCAGCGCTCCGCAGCTTGGCCAACGGCATACCGACCCGGCCATGGCGCGCTGAATGCTATATCTTCACCATATGCGGAAGGCCAGATTGTGACACGATTCCATCGAGACGTCCTCCGGCTATCTTGACCAGGCAGAGGAGACGTGGGAAATGAAAAGAACGCTCGTGAAAAGGGATGAACAGAATGGCAGTGAGCCAATAAGATACACAGTAGAAGAGAAAAAGAAGACCAAGCCGGCTCGGGTAAGGAGAGGCAGAGGCAAAGCTAAGGAACGGTAGAGACGCATGGCAACGAATGCAGCGCAGGATGGAGGTTCGCTAATATATAGCGTATGGAGGCAATACACGTAGGGCTGCACTACTGCGAGCAGCAATATGGACGGCTCCATACCCGTAGCAACAAGGCAATGAAACCCTTATCTTGATTGAGGGAATGCGAACTGGCGTAGACGACGAAGACTGACCAAGAGGAAACCCACCGTGGGTTGTCGACGCGGCATCGCGATGCTGTCCCCCCAATATTGTCAAGCCCTCGAAGAATGAAACGGGACCCCCTGTCCCGCCTCTGCCATGCCAGGCATACACTGTTTGCGGACCAGCGGCCTGCTTGCCCGAGTGGGGGCTTTGGGTGCGTCCCGACAGACGGGCACGACCCAATACGGCCTTGTGTAGCGGTGGCCCGGTCGAGTGAAACGCTGGTATATCCTTCCGTGGCACCGGTGGGATGCCCTTTCGAGGATCGACTTTGCAGGCCGTACGTTGATTAGCTTCGATACACAATCATACAGGTAGGAGGCATCCCAGCGGTGGTGAAAAGTCGAAAGGAGTCGTACACAACAGCGCCGTCCGAGCTGTGAAGCCAAATACTACCGCATTGCCACTTGGTAGTCGTTCGCGGCTGAACTGAACTGAAGCTCTCAGGTTGGTTTCATGACGCAGACAAGGTCTCGCAAGTCTACCTAGCGTTGAGAACCAGCAAATGCGAGGGCGGGTTTGGTGCCAGATAGATGAGCCAAGAACCCCCATATGATGGTTCCGGGTTAATTAAACCGACACAAGAACAAAACAAATGAAGCGTCTGGAGACGAAGTTGTCGGGTGTCAAGTGTGGAAACGACATGCCGAGACGGGCGATCCAGAACAGGATCAACTGTGACCCCGGACACGAAGGACTGATTCTCCCAGGGGATGGCTTGACTCATGAGACGCCTGGGAGCCTGACAGGTGAAATGGGAGAGGAGCGAAGCATGGGAAGCATGATAAAAGGCCTGGATGAAACACGACGGTGCCATACATAGCAGCCCGTCCTTCCCATTCTGTGCTGGCCGATCCCCGCGAGGCTGTGAGGCTCTGTGGAGCGGCTGCATACGCGGCAATGGTAGTATAGGATGTGGGTCAAACATTGCCAAGGTTGGGGGTACCGGTATGGCTCTGAACTGCCCGGTGGGATGATAGGATTGTGATATACCTGCCAACATCGTGGTCTCCCGTGGTCCGAAGTGAATATTCCCAGACCACATACTGAGTGTTGGTTGAGGATAGCAAAGCTCGAGAGCCTTGGGGAAGCACTTCCATCCCTATTGTGTATATGTCAGCCCGTTCACAGCCCGGTGCTTTTGCCTAAATAAATAAATAAATAAATAAATAAATAAATAAATAAATAAATAAATAAATAAATAAATAAATAAATAAATAAATAAATAAATAAATAAATAAATAAATAAATAAATAAATAAATAAATAAATAAATAAATAAATAAATAAATAAATAAATAAATAAATAAATAAATAAATAAATAAAAAAAACAATAATTAATAATAACAATAATAATAATAATAATAATAATAATGATAATAATAATGATAATAATAATAATGATAATGATAATAATAATAATGATAATGATAATAATAAATCCTTTGATAATGATAATAATGACAATAATAATAATAATGATAATAATAATAATAATAATAATAATAATAATAATAATAATAATAATAATAATAATAATAATAATAATAATAATAATAATAATAATAATAATAATAATAATAATAATAATAATAATAATAATAATAATAATAATAATAATAATAATAATAATAATAATAATAATAATAATAATAATAATAATAATAATAATAATAATGATAATAATAATAATAAATCCTTTTTTGTCACTGCTCACACGTGCCATCAAAGCCGTCACAAAAACACATCAAGAAGCTTCACCCATCGCTTCATTTGACACAAAATACTTTGGGACGCAAATAGACGCACAGAACAACCTTGAATGCATCCGTGGTCTGTAACAGTCGCTGCCGACGGCGCGGAAGGGGTACGAGACGACGGGCTTCAACTGTGAGCCAACCACATGATCACAACCTCTAGTGCGAGGAACAAGGACTAGAAGCTCGTCGACTGCTCGCTCTACAGGCTAGCTCCCTGTAACCGACTGCAGCTACAGCACCAACGACGTCAGGCTGTGTCGTCCCTCGCCAGTTTGATGAAGCTCGCACTTCGAGCCCAGGGACACCATTCAGTGAGCTTTGAGGTGTTCGTGTTTGTCCGCTGACCAGGACAAGCATACGTAGGCGCATCTCACAGGCGAACACAAGAAGGCTCGCCTTCTGCTTCGGGCCGTTCAAACGTCAGCTCATCGGCCTTGGATCATTCCCATCTATTCATCGCAAGAAGCTGCAAGCAGCAGTCATTTCTGCCTAGGTTGATGCCGCTTGGCACAGTCCGCTCTACCTACCGCAATCCCAGGCTAGCCAGGATATCAAGACGGAGGTGTATGTAGCAGTGCCGTTGATCTGGCAGGCAGAATTCAGGGGAAGTCGAAGTTCTTGCAAGCATTGCTGGCTGTGGGAGTCTGTGGCTTTGTGGCTTTGTGGCTTATGCCTGGTGCACTCGTCGGCATTGAGCCGAGAGATCCGATGCACAGCCACAGTCAGCCCAATCCCCTGCCCCTTTGAGCATCAACTTTAAGCCCCGCGCCATCCGATGTGACCCCCAGGCCCCTGTAACTTTGTAAGCGTGCTGTCGCGTCAGGCTTCAGCCCGTTTGCTGGTCATCCAACGCCCATTTGGACACTCGGTTGCAAGTTCAGGGGTTCCTTTTTCCAACGCAACACAGGCCGCCTTGTACTAATCTAGTCTATCCACGAATTCAACCTCATCGCCGTCGCCGTCGCCGTTATCGCATGCCATAACTCATTCCCGACCATGAGGTGATGCTGCTGTGCTCTCTTCCCGCCTGTGTCTCGATTTCCCCATGGATAGGTCTCCAAACATGGCGCGACGATGGGCACGCAGGTTCGAGCGCTACTGCTGCAACTGTCTCACCTACTTCCCTCTGGCCTTCGTCTACGGCCTGACGACATGGGCTGTCTGGGTTGTCGTCAACATTGGCTCTACTACGGCCAAGAACCATGAGAGCTGGACAGGTGCGTTTCTCCCTATTCGATCTGACCTTATTTGGAGCTGGCAACCTAACTGAATGGCTGCTCGCAGGGACCAAATCATCAATCGTCGGCGTCCTCCTCTACCTCATGCTCAACTGGTGTTACACCACTGCTGTCTTCACGAGCCCCGGCAGCACCACGAACGATGCGGGTTACTCGACGTTGCCGACCGTCGCTCCACCGAGCACCACTTCGTTCACTGTCAAGTCCAACGGCGAGCTTCGCTTTTGTAAGAAATGCCAAGCACGGAAACCGGACCGCGCCCATCATTGCTCGACCTGCCGACGATGCGTGCTCAAGATGGACCACCACTGTCCGTGGCTCGCTACCTGCGTCGGACTGCGCAACCACAAAGCGTTCCTGTTGTTCCTAATATACACCACGATATTCTGCTTGTACGATTTTGCTGTTTCTGGGTCGTGGGTTTACCAAGAGCTACTGAGCCAAACTGAGTATGTCGAGACCCTCATGCCGGTCAACTTCATAATGCTCGCGGTGGTTTCCGGGATCATCGGGCTTGTGGTTGGTGCATTCACGGGTTGGCACATAATGCTTGCGTGCCGCGGCCAAACGACGATAGAGTGTCTCGAGAAGACGCGGTATCTGAGCCCACTACGGAAGACAATGCAACATCAGTTCGAGGCGCAACACAACGGAGAAGGCGTTCAGCTTCCAAGATATGGGCAGCAGCTGTTAGATATCCATGCGAATGCCTTGCCTGGTGTCACGCGACCGGAAGAAGGAGAGGTCAGGCCGAACAGTAATGCTGGTATGCCGCCTCAACTCTCCTATGAAGATATGGAACGGTACCGCGCAAGGAAGCGGTATGAGGAGTACATGGACGAGCAAGACTCGGAGAGGCTACCGAGTGCTTTTGATCTTGGCGTCAAGCGGAATTTGTTACATCTTTTTGGCCCATCGCCGATGCTCTGGTTTGTCCCGATCATCAACACGACAGGGAATGGCTGGTCATGGGAACCAAGTCCCAGGTGGCTGGCTGCGAGGGAGCAAATCGCGCATGACCGTGACGAGCAACGGCATAGAGAAAGAGCTGCGGGATGGGGGGAACCGGAAGCGCCAGTTGTTTCGACCCACGCAGAACAGCCGAACGGGGCCGGCAGACATTATCTGGCATCGCCCTCACCGTCTAACGGTCGACGCACACCATCCAAGGCGGACCGGATCCTGGGCAGAGACCCCAATCTCTATGTCGATGAGCCACCGACCTCAGTCTCAATGCGGACTCTCGATCGCAGGGGTCACGACGTCGAAGGTGACGTAGACACGAGCACAGACGATGAAGATGCGGAACACGCAGCTATGAACCTCGTTACCAATGGAGGATGGGCTAGGAGCGGTGCTAGCGGCTTGCTGCGGAAGTCCTCAAGAGGCAACAACGCGACGTCACCAAGCTTCACAGCGAGGGACGACGAGGGAGTAGACTGAGCGAATTGGAGACCTTTTGGTAGAGGCCTGTTCACTCTCACCCTGTATTGTGTCTTGTGTTGTATGGATATCATTGCATGGCTGGGGCGTTCAATTGAGATAGGGACATGTCAACATGGATAAAAGATATCGCTTTTTGAGAATGAATTGGAATAGGAGTGGAATACCTCTTATCGTGTCATAGCGTATACCATATACAGCCCCTTTGAGATAGGATCCGCACCTAAGTTCTGATGGAGTGCCCCCTTTCCGGAGTGAACCATACAATCCAATTCCCTCCCTAGACGCTTAAGGTGTCCCAACATGGTCGGATAATTGTGCAATGACCAGACCTTGTTGCCACAGCACCGAGCGCCCAGTCCAGATGATTGCCATGAATTATTATCTAAGCCGCCTAAGGACCGTCTCAGCGGGACTGTATGAGCCTAACTATGCTTGCTGTCCGGCGGAGCACCAAGCTTTTGCCCCTTTGCAAAAACGTCATGATGTAGTAACGGCCCCGGGCACAACCTTGCAGATGAACGGTCGCCTGCTCCCTATGCCACCGGAAGGCTTCGTCTGTATATATATATATATATATTTCCAATAATATACGCTGTCTTCCCCCATCGTGATGCTCGGAGAGTCGTGACTCTTGAAGGAGGGCGGATCTAGTCACGGTAAGAATCAGCAAAATCGATCAGACTTGATTGGCCCATTCCCATGCCTGGGCAGCATTCAGCAGGTCTCTATTGGCTAGTGGTCATCTTCTTCCGTGAAGGGCACTGCTTTTTGACAAGACACTTAGACAAGGGCTGAAAGTCAAGTGACCGGTGGGAAGTGAAGAAGTACGGGCCGAGCTCTGCCCAGAAAGAGAGGAAGTAGAGCGCATGTCTACTGACAGTCAACTCGAGATGAGGCAAATTTACTTTGAGCTATCCAAGGTTGGAGATGATGGTGTAGATAAGTCTTCTGACTTGCGCGTTGTCAGTTCGCGCCTGACGGAGCTGGTTGTGTGCCTGGCGGAATTGGAGACGGGCGACGTGTAGCTGGCAACAGGCCAAGACGAGGCCGATAATGGCAAGGAAGATAGAGATGATGCTTAGAATGGATTGGAGATCAAGTAGGTTGCCCGAAGGCACTTCTCGGGGTCGTAGAGGTTCATTCGGCATGGCTGAGCCTATGTCGTGGGCCTATGTCGGGTGAAGCGTCGCAAGGTAGTGCAAGAGGCGTGTATTGCTGCTAGAGCCTAGCGTTACAGGCAAGTAGCTCCGTGAATTTCCAAGAGAATGTTTGTAGAGGGCTGTTGTGGTGTTCAACGCTTAAGTAAGGGTATAATTTCTCGGTCGATGTTGGTTCCTGGGCCAGGTAGGTGTCCAGGTGTGAGGTCGATAATGGCACCTTCTTCGTAGAGATGTCCCCGCGGACCCGGGTTTCATATGTGTTCTTTATTGATATGAGGCTCTACTTCCAGGTGGTGCTCCGGCTGTGCAGACATGGCAACCTCGGGATGGGTAGGGGTACCACCTTGAGCAATATGACGCTTTAAGGTTTATTGTGTTGTAATATATCGTTTGGTTTTGCTTTGCGTAGATTGCGGTGTGCTTCTTATACTGAGACACATACACACACTTACGTTACTATATTCACCCATACAGTTAGAAAGCAGCCCCTACGTTTACTTTCACTCTCACTTTCACGTCCTATCATATAGTAGGTGGTTCCCATTTCTGGGAAATGGGCGGCGCAAAGGGTGAGGTAGCCAGCTATGTGTATTTACTCGATGAAATAATGGTCTATTGATCATTGCGGTGGTAATAACTGGGAAGTGAGATTTGGTGATAACTGCGAACCGAGTTCATTTGAGAGAAAGGCCACGGTATGTTCACCGCTGACACTACCAGCTTCACGTCGAATAGGAATACAACACATGCAAACCTCTGTCAATCCCAGCTCGAACGTGTCTGGCGTTGATCGTGACGCTTAACTAGAGCGGTTGATACGGCCCTTGCGCTTCTTTCTTCGGCTTCATAACCACGCATACCCAGGCATGAGAATGGCGAAAACGCTGGTGGCCCGAGGAGATCCAGAGCCTTGCTGACTAGGTAAGAAAGTCCGTCTGACGTCTCTCCGCGGTCCCCCTTCGCAGTTCGCAGTTCCCAGCTCTCACTTCGTAATTGAGGAGCTTGCGAAATTACCGTGCAACACGAGGGCACCGATGTGAAGATAAGGAGTGAAAAGGGGGCGAAGACCGAGGCCACACAGCAAATGACTCCGGAGCACCAGGGCCTCTGCTCACATCCGTCATCATCCAGAGATAATCTGATTATCTGCGTAACGCAGGAAGGGCCGTTGACGATGCAGTGACAGGACACATCGGGGAAACGACGAGTTCCAGATATGAATACGCTCCAAGACTCGTCAGCGGACCTGGCACGCCAATTCAAACGCCGTCGAGATCAGCTGCCGAGCAGCGATGGGATCTCCAAGACTTGTAAATGACTTTCTTGCACCACTGCCCATCAGGAATGTAGTGAATCGCTTGTGAGGACCATGGGAACCTGGGCTGATTGAACCCAGAATGGATGCTACCTTCGTCCTCCAGATGCTGAGAACTGAGCTCTCTGTTCTCACCGCCAGAAAGCAAGGCTAATAGATGTCTTGGGAAATCCCATGGATCCTCCGCCCATGGATCCTCGGAGGCTACAGAATTTGCGTCTGCTACAGAATTTGCATCGATCCGTCGTTGACCTTTGGGGCGCACTGAACAACGCGGGTTGGGCTCGACTGGAGACAACGAAGCCACGAAGCGCGGAGCGCATACTACTACGACAGGTACTTTCTTCCCTGGCTCAGTCGAACCCCAAAAGACACAATGTCTGGTGTCAATCGGGGATATGGAATGGAGCTCGCTGAGGGATGATGAGGATACCGACTCGTTTGAAGGTGCTCTCAAGCTCATGTTACAGTCCTTCTCCGGCGACCGGGCTTCTTTCTTCAAACCGGCGTGGGAAAGGCTCAACTGTCTATGGATAGATCTCGTACTCCAGTTGGAAGAGATATTTAGCGTGAAAATACATCATCCAATGACAAAATCGCTAGTCCTCCCATCCAGCTTAATTTACGCTTGGTGGGACTGCGACCTTCAAAGCGACACCTTCGTCGATTTTTCTTTCCTCTGGAACTGGTTACATCAGCACCGGCGGCACATGTTGAACATCGACGCATCGGGGCAGCTTAATTGGCTGCGAGACCGAAAGAGTGCAGTCGAAACATTTCGTCGCCAGCCTTGGAGCTACTTCTACGAGGACATTTGGGGCCAGTCATTCTACTATGTTGTCAGATTATCTGATACGCCCAGACCTGGCAAGACACTCGCTTCCGATCTTCGGTGGTTGCCAGCCTCGATCGTACCGCCCCATTATCCAACGGGAATGACATTGCTGCATTATGCTGCAGCAGTCGGCAGCAGCACAGCTTGTCGAGCTTTGGAATCTGAAGATGCGAAGGCCCACGACATTGACGGTCGCCTGCCCATCTTCTATGCCGCGCGTAACGGTCACCTCGAGGTCACGAGGCTCCTCGCTACTCGATTATGAGTGCGGAGTGCAGGCAGCGAAGAGACGTGCGTACTGGGAACCAGACCCCAGATTTTGTGCCGTGACACTGGGCTGCTTATTCATTCCATTGCAATATCATGATCATGTAGGCATACTTATGCCTAGCATGGCAGGAGCAAGGACAATATGGTAGTAACCTTTGTGAGGTTACGTGGAGTACCAATGTACCTCAATCGTCGAAAATGGCTATGGAGTTTCGCATCGTGGCGGGAGGAGGCTGGTCTCAATACGGGTTTTCATGTTGATTGTGTGCACAACGGCACCACCAGCGAGGCATCAGGCCGTCTAGACTCAAACTGACCCAAGGTGCAATGACTGTTCACAGTCATCGCCTTCTGCATCCTCGCGACCAACGTGAGTTTAGCCGCACTCTGACTGACCGGGCTACCTAGCAGCATCATCGAGCTAGGGCGAAGCACCAGGGTATAGGGGCTCAGATACCCCTATTCCCAGGGGCTGAGACACCCCGGCAAACATACCCTCCAAGAAGCACCCAAAGGCACACAGAGGCATGCAGTGCTGCATCACTAACTCTTGCCGCCTGAACTGTTGCAAAAAGCGATGCCAACACTCCGACTTGTCGACGAACTTCGGATAGCAGGACATGCCGACTCAAACGATCTAATGCATTTTGAGCATCTTCCAAGCATCCAGGCATCCCGGATACATATAAGTACACTTCGACATACAACCACTATATCTAACATATTTATCTATGTTATTAACTGTAGATCAACACACCTCATCTCAAGACCTCATCGGTCCGACGAACAACATGGGCGTAGGGTTAGGGTTAGGGCTGGGGTACGCCTCCCTCATTGCACGAGTAGTTCCAGATCCGCGCTTCCTAGGTGGCACAGCGTGTTGCAACCGCTGCTCAAGGACCATGAAGGGGCGTAAGTCGTGATCTTATGTAGGAGAAGCTTGCTCAATGCTAGGGATGTCTTTTGCAGACGACTCGAAGGTGTGCAGTAAGCGCACTCTATGCCCACTTCAAGGCAAGGGGAGATCTCAAGGCTGATGAGAAGCAGTATTTTCGAAAAGCTACACGCCATATCCATAAGCAGGTTGAGAATGACGATGCCCCCTTGCCGTCGGTGAACCGTTACGTGCACCAAAGGGTAGTCAGTGAAACGATGATCCAGGGCCATAGCCCCTGACTTATCGATCTACAGACTTCCGACGGGCGTGTTCGCAGTGAGCCCATGTAGCCTTGAGAGTACGAGACCTCAGGTGTCAAAGAGGTGCCCAGATTGAGGCTCCATTGTATCCATGCCCGCGCCCAATAGTCAACTCACCCGCGTCCTGTCGCCAACAACCGTACCCCTCAACTGCGCCACGCTACTCCACAACCCAAGGGGTATACGACAGGAGCAACATGCTCCTCCCATGCTGCGCTTTCAACTACCAAAAGTCATTCAAACCACGATGGAAGCACTCTCGAAGAAGTCTATCCGGTCGTCTCGGGGATTCACGTACACCTACTACGTGTCCGATCCCGACACAATCGCCAAGAATGCCCCGACCCTGCTTCTTCAGCACGGTTTCCCCGACGACGCACACATCTGGCAAACGGATCCTTCGGCATACGGAATGTCGGCACACACTCGAGATCTAACCGAGGTATTGGATGCTGAAGGCGTTGACACCGTCGTATCGACACCGTCGTATCCGTGGGCCACGATTGGGGCTCCGCCGTCGCCCAACGCCTGTATGCCTATCATCCCGAGCGGGTGAGCGGGCTGGTTCTGCTGAACGTCGGCTATATCCTGCCGTCCCCAGAACCGTTCGACTTGGTCAAGACGAACGATAACCTGGAGAAAGCCGTCGGGCATCCGCTGCTCGCATATCAGGAGTTCCCTGATCACCGACGAGGCACCCGCGATCCTGAAAGCACACGCCGACCGGGTCTACGACGGGATGCACGGCGCGCCACCGGACTGGATGCTGCAGCTCCTCTGCCGGTGCGGAAAGTGGAAGGAGTGGCTACTCGACGAGAGCGGAGACAGCAACGTCGAGGTGCGTGACTACGCCAAAGATGCGAAATTGAAGCGCGCGTTCGTAGAGAGGTTCCAGAGGGACGGGTTTGAGGGCCCTGTTTGTGACTACAAGGCGAACAATTAAACGTATAACATGAGAAGGACAATGCCATCCCGCGGGAAAGGCTCGTTGTTTGGGTTCCGATGCTGTACATTGCCTGCTCGGATGATCCTGTGTGCCGGCCCGAGGCCATGGACGCGGCCAAGCAAGGCGGCTTTTGCCCTGATCTCGAGGAAGCCACGCTTGATTGTGCGCATTGGAGCCCGCTTGAGGATCCAGATGGCGTCACTGGTGCCATGGAAAAGTTCCTAGCAAAGAGGTTCTCTGCTTGAAGGAGCCTCTGATAGAGGTGTGGATGCACTCCAGGTTCTTCATGCTTGTCGCGTCGAGAGGTGGTTCTCACCTATAGGGGGGTACGCCTCAGTGGCCCTTGAATCAACTGCCAGTCTAGTAGGTAGTTAGCTTGTGTTGGAAGGTTTGAAAGTCAGATAACCTACTGCAATCTGCCAAACCTTAGGGAAACCGATCCTCGAGTTTAGAGGCTGATTGTGGCCCCAGAAACATGTTATCACTTCGCCGGTTGTATTCAACTTACCCTTTAAGTATCGCGTTCTTTCAGACACACAATAAGAACCGAAAGGGGACAAATGCGTTGCTCAGAATAGACGGGTGGATCACCCACGCAATTCAAGCAACCAAGACGCGACGGCTGTGCTCACATGACTTGTGTCTAGCATCAGCATCTCTCTGTGCCCTACAGCCGTTCAGAGAGCTGTTCTTCGACATATCATGTATGACTTGCCCATGTCCTTGGTCTTGAGCTTAGCGTCGTGTTTTTCCCTCGAAGTTCGTCCTGTGACTTCAGATGATGCCTTTACATACCTCACTTAGTCACTCACTCACAGTTGGATCGGCCCTTAATAAATTATAATATGCTACAGCTACTAGGGACTCGGACCAGTTCATGCTGATATAGATGTAATGTATATATTAGCGAGGAAATGTAGCTATGGTGCTAATCAGGCACAAGTATGGGCGGCCATGTCTCTGAACTGTGATGAACTATTAGGAATTTAGAACATACCGTAATTAAGATAATAAGCACCTTACCTGACCCTCAAACGAGGACCAAGAGGTATCCATTAAATTCAGACTGGCTGTTCCACAGCACTCGTACCAGGCATCACGCATAGATATCTCAAAGTTATATTCCTATATAGACGGAGACTGGCGAGGGGTGACCCAAACGCTTAGACCTCCGAAGAAAATTTCAACTTGCATTCTTCGGTTCTTGTTCGCCGTCTAAGGCAGAAATAACAACTCTCCTACCAGGTACAGTAGCAAAGCCAGCCCATCCAGCCCATATGGGAAAACCCTCTTTTGGTCGACACCAACGCCAGGGAGTAAGTCACTGACAACAGCGATATTTACTATGGCCGAGCCATGGCAGATCACTTCGTCAACAACTATCCAACACACAGCAGACTCTCTCTACATAGGGACCACAACACAGAAAAGCACGACAACATTCGATATCCGTTCCAGGAGCCGTTCCGCCCCCGGCACTCAAGCAAAACCAGCTGCGGCCAATGTCAAGCTCGCCGAGATAGTGCGCGCCCCCAGCGCTCCGGTTCAGACAAACGCGTAGAGCACACGCGGCGGCGTAAATGACCGCGATGCCTCGCTCGCAGGCGGAAGGATACGGCGTTGCACCACGGCAAGGAGGACCTCCTTGCACGATACGAATGTGTGTGGACATGATCTACACAGCCCCCTACACAGCTAAATACCTTCTTACTGAGACAAGCAGTGAACGAACGACATGCTTCCGTCCCTCGACACGCAGATCAGACATACATGCAGAAACGATGCATCATACGTACACCTGCATGCAATACAGACAGACCACACGCTCTAAATCGAGCCGGTATGTCTGCTGTCTGCTGTCAGCCTAGGGGCCTGATCTGATCCGAGCATGATTTCATTGGTCTCTCTCTCTGTCGTGCTGGTCTGCACTCTACACTATACACTATACAATAAGCACCACATACGAGCAGGGGTGTCGATCTGCTGCTGGCGTGTGGCGTTGGCGTGTGTCGCTGGCGTGGTCTGTCCATGGTGCCATGTCATGCCATATCGTAGGTAGCTGGCAAGCCGTATCCCTAATAACCCATACAAGACGTGCGCACAAGTAACCCACACATACGCACATGCGCCCCCTACCTATCCACGTTCCTCCTCCAGAATCTACCGACCTCCCAGCCTACCAACCGACCAATTCACCAGCCCGTCACTCTATATCGCACCAACCACAGACCATTCGCAGACGCGCACGTTTGCTCACAAGGAAGCCAGCGAGCCCATCCAGACGCAAGACTCCGTGCGCCGCCCAGCCATCCAGCGGGAGGTCCGAAGAGGCGTCCGGGTCTCACGGCAGGTCGGCCATATAAATTACAACAAATAGTCTGGGCGACGACCTGGGGGCCATATGCGGTGTGGGCTGTAGAGACGGGAAGGCGCATATAAACTTTGCAGCACAAGTGCAGGATCAGCAGGGGAGGGGCGGAGCGGGTGCCGGGCGGCCGCGTCGTACATACATACATATGGTGCGCCTTGCAGCTGCGTCTGCATCTTCAATTTGCATTTTGAGTATGGGGGTATGATGTGTTTGGCGCGTCAAAGATCAGCCTGTATTGCGACAGCAACCTCGCTCTCTTTCTGGCCGACTGGCGACTAGGGGCCGAAAAGGGGGGGCCGGAGTTCCGTGGTACGTTCCACGGCGTCGGGGAGATGCACGGCGGCGGCGGCGGTCAGACCGGCAGAGAAAGGCCGTCGTGATCATGACAGGGGGTGGGTGATGAGTATTGAATGACGATCATGCCATATGCCAGAAATATCCAACGAGTGGACGAGCGAACAACGACCAGAGACCCAGTCGGTGAGCGAAAGTGATAGTCGTGGAGAAAAAGCAGGTAGAGTGAGTAAGACGGGTGACCACGTCTCGCTACGCAGCACGTCGGTCCATCTTACAGAAGGAGAGCCCATCGCGCGCAGCACGATCGGCCTTACTTTCTCTCTTGCGATCCATAGAACGGGCGACTCTGCGGTGGTCGAGGGTGAGGGTGTCGTGCAGCTAGCCGGCGCCATCTCAACACCCTGCGGAGAATAAGCTGCGCCGAAGGTACGACAGGTAGGAGACAAATGCAGTGCGACGACGAAAGCGAGACGTGGAGAAGGCAACAAGATAAATTCACTGGCCTGTACCGCCGTACGACAAGCACGTGCCAGGCCGGCTCTGGCGCGGCATTGCGGAGGAATGATGGGATGGTGAATCACACGCCTACCTGCCTGCCTTCTTCGCATGGCCGGTCCACACACGCCATGCAGGATTCGCAGCCTTGTGACACTAAGACGGTGAGGCTAACATGCTGCACCGCGTCAGCCGTGTGTGCGCTGCGCGCGTGGAGAGTTGTAAGTGGTACATCACCTGCGTGTGTGAGCGTCGATGCGACACAACGCAACGTGGTGCGCGCCGCCTATCCACCTCGCTCCGCCCTCCAACCAAGCGAGGGGGTACAGGACCAGATTCGCGAACCGAGCTGCAGGCCACGCGAATGTAACGCCAGGCGAAGCCCAGCAGTCAGATCCGCTACTCCCGGCGACTACGACATGGAGCCGTGGTCGAGGCCGATTCGGCTCCTTGTCTGGTCGATGCCCTCGATATCCACCCGTCAGAAGAGTGGCGAGGAGCGTCGGAAGCATCGTCCCGATCACGGTGGTATTGGGGGCTCGTCTGACTGGATCATTGACATTTCCGGAGAGAAGATTTGATGAGCACAGGCGGCCGCCTCAGGTTGGGCGGTTTCGGCCTAGGAGCAGCGGCAAGCTGCAGCAGGCAACCAAGCATGTCCTGTCTGGCATAGCCCTATGACTGTAGACAATGCTCCAATCGGTGGTCGAATCCGCGGTGTGGTGTATCTGCGAAACGAACCCTTTCCAGCGCGCCGATGACGGCTCCTATGACCGTCACCACCGGTGCTATTCTGGCTTCTACCCTGCCGGCGAAACTGATGGAGAGGAAGACCTCGTTGCTTATCTCGTATGACCAACAACAACCAGTGCCACGCTGGATATTGCCGCCGAGGCGGTCATGCAACGGGAATAGCCAAGCCGAGCAAAAATCTGACGAGCGACACCAGATTCTACCATGACTGCAGTTGGAGACGATGTTTTGGCAGCATGTTGGAATATGCGATATGTCAAAAGTGAGAATATTGCGTGGCACTCGATAGTCTTACTTCCATTTTCGGTATTGCAGGCCCAATGGGGAAGAGGTGTGGTCACGCAGGCTTACTCAAATCCTTTAGAGGCTCTGCGGCCGCAATACCCAGCAGGTTGGGTGGAACAACGAGCCGGACGGGCGGAAAAAGAAACGGCTCGAAGCGAAATTCTAGGTTCCACGCCCGAAGCCTTCATGGTACCCTTATCTCGTGGCTACCAGAGGAGGTTACGGTCCTGAACCGTGGCTGTCTGACAAGGGGTTAGACTCGCCGAATATGGCCCTCCGTTGTGCTCCATCGGAAGGTGAGAAGCGAAGGACTGGGGTTCGGAGGGCAGAGGTAACCTTGGTCATCTGTAGGGCTGAGATCGGTTCGAAGCCTTCCTAGTCCGTCCTGCAGCTTGCCACTTCCGGCACTCCAGAACCTATCGTGGAAATGAACCTGTCGCCTTTGTGGTCCACGTGAGGTAAGCTGAGCCCCTGATGCATTGGATGCTGCGGTAATGTCCTCCCTCATGGTCGAGTTATACTCGTTTATTATTGTCTTACTCCAACGACGCACATTCGCAGCACGTTGTAGGAGTGCAAGTCTGCAGGATGTACCAATGATCCACGCGACAGGATTGAAGCGTACCTTCAAGTACCGATACCAAATGCTACGCTGAAGATCCGATGGCAGCCGATTCGACTTCCTGGTCGAAGATCGTGTTCGACTGCGAGAGGCAACCTGCAGCGAGTGTGCAGGGATCGTAACTCCTTGGGTTTGACCGGCGAGGAACGAGTACGAAGAACACGACTTGTCATATTCTCGATGCCGTTCGCGGCTCCTGCCAAACCTGTAAACTGAGGCTGACTCCTTTTGCAGCAGAAGACAGAGACCTTTCTGAAGAGAACCAAACATGCTCATGCCATTAGTCTTAGACTCGTCACTGGCAGCGCAGAAAAGTAGCTCCGGTGGTAGCGGCTCTCTGTCTGGTGGCGTAGGTCGAGGCCTCGTCATCACTCCATAACCGTGATATTATTGATGCTAGCCGGAGTAGTGATAAGGGGGAGACGAAGAGGCACCCTACACCCCATGATCAATGAGCCGGTGTCATTACGGATTATTGATGACAATGACTGGTCAGGTTTCACAAAACATGCCACTGCATATAGTGAGGCTGCCAACGGTGAAGATTGGCTCGTCTCACCAGACATACCTCGCTGTATGATCCTTGATACTCTCCAGGGCGCAATCTGTCTGCAATGGGCATGCTGCAGCTGCAGCTCCACGCACTGAGATCGACCAGAACACGTCGCACAGCTCCAGGCCGGTTATGCCGGCCTGGGTTCACAAGCTGAACTCGAACTCGAACCTGGAATTTAAGATTGTGGTCAGGAAAATAGCGCCTTGCTCTGCCTTGTTGAAGAAACGGTTGAGAACAAAAGCAAACGCTGCCGTCCTTAGACCTTGTACTTGGTAACGGGCCTTCCCGTCGACTCGGTTCGGCAAGACGCGAACTCCCTGAGTGTCATCTGACAGGTAGTGCGCTGAGATGGCGCAGTGGCCCTTGCAAATGTGATAGATCACTCGCCACGGCCGAGACACAGACCTAGCCAAGATGGCCGTATCGATGGTACCAGGAAAGACGGAAACCACCCATATCTATCGACACAGTGGTTCCAGCACCCTTCTCGGACCCCAAAGTGCTTGAAGGACTCCCAACCTCTCATAGATGGTTTCTAGTCTCAGCCTCTGCTGGGTGTTGGTGGCGTTCGAGAGGCAGGCGGCAGCGAAGCACATACTGAAAAGGTGCAGGGCAGCTCACCAATGATTCTTGCAGCTGAGGTCGCACTGACATGCTGGAGCCAGCTGATGCCACGGAGATAATGGTTAATGATAGCCACTGTCGACGCCCATTCCGGCAATCTGTGCAGCACTCTCGAGGCGGTGGAACGTGGACTTTGCTGCCCCCTGACGTGTTGCCTTGCAGGAAGTTGCAGCAATGGCGAAGCTGCCCTGCTGCTCTCGCGACGGCGCACCTATGGGGAGCCGTTCAGGTCGCGATAGTCAGATAACCTCACATCCAACCTGCATGACAGGTCTGTGGGGTATTCTGCAATGCTGGTCAGCGGCATCCCACTTGAAATCTCACCATCACCGGGGTCGGGGGGGGGGGGGCATCTCTAGGAGCGGGCACATGGTGTGCTGCTAGTACACGCAGCACTGCGTATTTTGATTGCAGTTTGCTCCTTGCGCCACGGTGAATATAGTATGTAGCATACACGGGACTATTCCTCTGAAAGCCGTCAAGACGATGGTGGTGCTGGCAAGATGCGCATAGACTGCGGAGTGGTCCCCGATGCTGACATTGAAAGGTGCTATTAATAATGCTTAGCAGCCTCGTCGACCCCTATAAGCTGCAAAGAGCCCTTGCAAAGCCACCATGGAAGAGGCAATGCCGACTGGTTGTGCTTCGGATGGAGATGACAACACCAAGGTCCAACACCGACGCCAACACCAAGCGATGGGATCCGACGGCGTGGTTAGAGACCCATAAATCCTTGTGGTGTGGAGTACTAGTAGGGACCTCGGAGATCTGCTGGGATGCTGGGATGCTGGGATATGGGGAGAGAAGCTTTCTAGAAACGGGATGTGGGAGGTGGTTTTTCTTGGATTTCCCCCTCGGTTACATGCAGGTCTTGTTCTCGCGTCCAATGGCGTCTCCGCATTTCGATGCTGCACCTCGAGGCAATCTTGCTTGAAGGCTGGCTCGTCGCTCGCTGATGTCGTACGGTGACCGTGAAGTCCATCTAGCTTGCCTGCTTTTGCAGTCACACGGCAGTGCGGCCAAGCTCTTCTGCTGCTATCTCGTCCTGCAGGACTACGACGCCTGATAAGTCTTTCTGCATGGTACTGTCATTAACGTCGAGCGGAGAAAAGCTGCACGCACAGCCCTGATGATACATGTAGCCAACCAGTCACGACTCACTGATGCGATGACCTGCAGTATCGACCTACACAGTGTTGCTACTGCTCCTGCCCCCTTTTTAGACTGAGACAGCCACTCTGGCCGCGGGGACGAGAGGCCAAACAACCAGGGAGACCCCTCATGTGATCTGTGAGATGCTGCAAGGCCCCAAGGAAGTCGTACGATTCCAATGTGGGGTTGCAGTATGAAGTATACAATCGTGTAATATAGGAATGCAGATACTAATACCGTAGTAGCATTTGGTCTGTCAGAATCCGGGAATGGGATCGTTGCCTGTGAAGATGACATGGCGCGGCGCATGCGTAAGAAACAGTACGTATGATGAATTGCAGACGACGGCGACCCATGCGGTCCATGTTGCTAGACGCAGCTGTGGGGGTCGGGTGGGTTGACGCGATGTCGCATTTCGTATCGGCACGTCGGCACCCCAGATGTGATATGAGAAGAAGCGAGAAATGGAAATGCCATTTCCTCTCGCGGCAGGCATGGAAAACTCGATGGGTATTGAGATGGCGATCTCCTGCTTGCTTGCTCTGTATGCTGTCGCCATGCCATGCTGCACCGCGGACCACTCTTATGCTCCAGTCTTTTGCTAGGGGTTTACTCCATATCGTGCGGACTACCCACATGTAAGTAGTAGGTACATGACGTACAAAATGGAGTACACTGTACACGGTCATGTTGCTGTCTCGCTCCTCGGGCTCGTGTCAGGTCGATATATTGAGATATAGTAGTATCGGACGGCTAGCCCGACGGACGGGCTGATGGCCGAGAGAGTACGCAGAATGATGTGCATATCATCAGTGCGCGCGAATATACTCTGTTACCAAGAGGAACGGTGAAAGTATGGAGTGCGGGAGGCGCGTGACAGCCAGGGGTGGACGGCCCCATTCGTTCGGCGCGCAACGTGGCCCCTTCGTCATCGAGTTTCATGACCAACCGCTGGGTCGCCCATCGAGCCTTTCTATATTCGACTAGGTATGCGGGTATGCTGTAGTAGATATGGTAGGCAAAAGCAGAGGTTCGTCGGCCCTCGGGTATTCAAGGCTGAACGATACGACGAAAGAGATTTGTAGGGGTCCTGGATGCACGTTGCAGGGCGGTGTGCAAAAGTGGGAGAAGTTTCCACTCTGAAGCAGATGGCATTATCAGCCCATTCGCTCGCATAGCAGTAATCAATACCTCGCATCGCAAAGTGACGTTATTCTGACGGGACTTAGCGATAACACAACACTGGTGATAAGTGACGCTCTGCCATCTGTCGATATCGGTGGCGGGCCGGGGACGGCCGTCTGACTTGGAAGGCGGCGCAGAGGTCCGGAGGTTCCTTTGGGCAAGCCCCTGTCTGGCTGTCTACTCTGGCGGTCAGAATATCGGTAAGCTGCCAGTCAGTCGACGATAGCTCATCATTTCTTACGAAAGCGAACGCGAAGATGTAGGCCCAAGCACGCATGTGCATACGTGCCTCGCGTACCTAGGTATTCCGATGTACAATGCAGACTGTCGAGGTCATTCTGGCCCAGAGTGACTTTCATGCCGTTGTCTGCCCGAAACGTCCATTTTCTGACCGGCTGGCCGCTCTGATTGGTGGGCCGGCTGTCCGGCGGTCTGCTCGCAGTCATTTTACTGGTGCTCACCCGTGTTGCATGTACATCTACGTGTTGTGAATATGCAGCCGTTTATAAATACCCGCGAGCTTTGACGGCTTGTCTGCCATCCCATAGGGCCAAGGCCGAGGGCACAAATACTTATGATGTACCTGGCAAAGAAAGGCATGCGAGTCTTGACGAATACCCGTCGGTGCTACCTGAAAAAGGTTTTTCTCGCCAGCCTTTCTCTACTCCAACGGTGGTTCGCTGTATGTGAGTCACGAACGGCACGGCGCCCGCGAGGCTCTAGCGCACGACCTCGAATTCCTGTTCAGGCAATTAGTAGAGTTATTGTCTGGCTGGATCTTGGCGCATGCGTTTGCAGTGCTACCCAAGATCTGGCGCACCGTTGCGCTTTCACTCGAATACAGCAACAACGGCGAAGATCAGGGCCACCCGAAGCGCGGTTTCCGGTGCTATGGTTTGTGGCTTGAGCTCTCTCATCATCTCATGTTTGTGATCGTGAGGCTCGCCGGGCCAGCCAGCTACAGGACTGCCGTGATATATCAGGGCCGTATCGCCTCGCAAGTCGACCGCATGCACCAAGCAGATAGTGACCGGATAATGCAAAACACTAGACCGGCCTGGTCTGATGGCTTCAAAACTCCTTGGTACTGACCAGCTGCGGGTGGCATGTACTCTGCGTCATTTTCATGGCGGCGACGATGAGACTGCAGAACGCACGTTTCTGCTCTTGCAGCTTGGCCATTCATGGCTCGAGACGGGTTACTTTCTTATATTTGCGGCACCGCGGCTGCAGTCCGCAGATCCCGCACGCAACGACGGACGCTCCCGTCCACACATTTTTTCCCTCACTTCGACAAACAGCACTTTGTAGATTGGTGGTGACGGCTTGACGGCTGGTCCGGCTGATGCGGTGCCGCAACATATTATACCGAACAACACACGTCGCGGGATACATCCGGCACCCAATGCCATCCACCCGCCGAGAGTCCCACGTCTAGCACCCGGGCTCGTCTCGACGCACGACTGAAGATCGCCACGGGGAACGGCGATGTCAACGTCCAATGCATAGCATGTTCCTCGAGCTGAGGGTGTCCTGAGGATGAGTCGGCTGTGTGAGGCTGTAACAAGACAGGAACCAATGACAAGGCCACCAATTGTGTTGTTGGTGGTGATCGTGATGTGCTGCGTAATGATATGGCGCCGACACAGTGAAGTCGATCAGCCGTTGACATAAGGTTTTGTAAGCGTGCGCCTGTCCCGGCCCTCGACTATAGTCGAGCAGGTATGTCATCCTGCTGTTGGTAGCAGGAGTGCGATCCGGGAATAACAAAATACCGTCCCAATCGCTCTGGTCTCTACAGGGCAAGGGTTATTGCCGGAATGCTGCGGGAAGCACCTTGACCGGATTCTGGCGAGCCGCACTTGGCGAGGGTAATGCGCCGCCATTCCGAGCCGTAGAACCGAGCTTTCTGACGGTCCAAGGCCAGCGGGCTTGATGCTGTTGCAATGCACGTTGTTCTGCCTGCAGTGCAGATGGCTTCACGTGCATGCAAGGGTCGTCCTACGTGCTGATTGATCAGGTGGTCCCGGATCGACAGGATTCCTTGCGATAGCTGGCTTTTCATCACAGATCACTGGTTTGTGCAGCATCCGTCAAGCATGAGCGAACCCCGCGTTGACTATCTTCCGCTGACGGGGAAGGATGAATACCACCCAAATCTGCTCGGCCTTTGCTCTAGGGTAGGATCCAAATCATCCTGGCCGCCAGCGTGGCATGGCCTCGACAAGCTGCGGCAGTCTGGAAAAAGGAAACCCGGTCGGCCAAGAGGGTGACGCAGGATTCCAAGTACCGATGCGTAGGTGCAAATCCTGGAGTCTGTCCCACGCTGGTCAAGTGATTGGGGAAAATACCCCTGATCATCGTGGGTATCGCCCTGGCATGAGAGGCTGGAACGTGGTCAAGATGGTCCTCGTGACACCTTCCCCCGGTCCATTCCCATGCGGATTGGGAGAGCAAGCCAATCAACTTCACGGTGCCCTCTGGAAGCAGCCCAGCCCAGCCCAGCTCGCACGGCACGTCTCATCACTGACATCAATTGCAACGCAGCTCTGCCCGCGTGCAAGGGGCTGGCGGGGAAGCCTATCATGTTCTCGAGAGAGATGCGTTGCTCCCGACCTCGCATATGACGGTGTTATACAGCAGACCGGCAGATCACGGCTACTTCTTTGGTCTGAGACAACAAACTCGTCATTCTTCTAATCCGGCGGCGTGCTGGATCTGAATCTTGACCGTTCCAGCCGAAGTAGCTGTGGCACCCTATGGTGCCCGTGGCCTGCAGGCGGCCGGCACGTTCCACTGGCATGGAAAACACAATCGCACCCCTGACTGGCTCGGTCTCTGAAGACTGACATTCCAACGCTCTCTAGCCCGAGAGTGCTGAGACCTGATCACTGTTTGATGCTGAGACTTGCATGAGGGCCTGCACTGGCAGGCTTCAATATTCGGAGCTCCGTTGCCGGCCAAACGGCCGCGCACGAGAGACTGGTTGCCTTGAGCTGCCATGTCGCCCACCGCCATGCTTGACGAGACCCGACAGTTTTGATTGCGCCGAGCTCCTTCCTCCCACGGAAATAACCGCACTGACAGCCGACTAGGTAGTGGACTGTTCTCTAGCTCCAACATGAAAAGCCAAGCTGCCAAGGTGGGGAGGCGCAGTTTATTGAGTGAGAATATTCCTGTGTGCGGCCCGGTATCTCGAGGCGTCGCGCAAAGCGACGAATGGATGCCGGGAGGAGGGCAATTCAAACTTGAACCCTTTGACGCTGTGTCGATGTTGTGGAGTCGACCCGACACGGCTAACAAGGTTCCTGGATAGGTTCCTGGATAGAGCCTGCAGAAGGGAAGGTAGGGAAGAGATCGCCTGTGGAAAACACAAGCCGCGCACAGGAACGACTTCAGTCTTCCCGAACAGCCTTGGGGACTGGAGGTACCTTGACGAGGTACGAAGCGGTACTTGTGTGTGCAACCCTGCCCGCATGCAGGCAGCTCAAGACCCTCGATGATTGTGGCGCGGTGCTGACTGGAGGGGTCTTCAGGCTTCAGCCGCAGCGAGTCGACATGGTGAGCAGCTTGGGCATGCATGTAGTCAGGACTCAGGACCCCTTTCTGGCAGCATGCATTGTGCAATGGCAGGCACTCAGGCACTCAAGCACTTTTGGCGGTGTGGTTTCGATCATAGAGGAGGACCCATTATCCGTTACTAGTAAGTATTAAGTATGATGATGATGGGCGGCCGGAGAGATTGATGCTAGACGGTAGACCTTGATGAGGTGCGGGGAGACAGGCGATGGACGACGGGAGGGATTGATCATGTTGGGCAATTTTGACGTAACCCATCAGTTGTTTCAAGTTTCAATCGTCTCTGGGCAAGGCGCCCGAGTTTGCTAGCAGTTCATAGCGTAGCGGCTCGAGAGTCGAGAGTCGAACCCTTGCAAGACTCCGAAGACAAGACTGAAGAAAGCGGCTGCGGACCCTGATGAGAGGCGGTGCACGGTCTGGCGGTGCACCGCGCCATATTTTAGCATCGTGAAACCTGACGCGGCCTGCGAGGAACAACCCAGAAGGCGACGACACCTTCTAGAGCATTTAAGGAAACATTCCTTCGCTCGGGACGCCGGGTTTCTGTTCGCGCTCGGGCCTGGTATTTTTATTCTAATCTTGGAAGAGTGGAAACACCATGCTATTTACTGTAAATGAATAGTGGAGAGGGAGGGTAGATATCAGACGTGACTGTGGTTTACTATTATCTCTGTGCACCTATGGACAATGACGACGAGTGTGATTATGACACTACATGCTCTTGATTCGGTCAATGAGGAATATCTGTGGTAGTACCTAGTTGACGAAATGGCCTGATGGCAGCGATGCGAACAGAGCCGCCCAGCTCTAGCGTCTGGCCTTGTTTGGATGAAAGGGGGATTTCAGGGCGCGTCTTGGCCCGCGTGAAGTTGGCGTGTAACGGTCTCTTCCAAATGCCGTCACCAAAGACTAGCAGCCCAGCTAGACAAGCTAGCCTCCCCTCTGTTCATCTCGATAATCATGGCATTGCTGTGAGTATTAATTCCAGCTGCTGCTTGGACGGGTGCTCCCTGCTCGCCCCGGGGACTTCACCTAGTTTCCGGTAGGCTCACCAGTACAGTACATCATCTCGGCGGGGGGTGTATCATAGCACATCCGGATAGGGTTTAACGAGGCCGGGATACGCCTTGATTCCATCTGGTATTTTGAGTAGGTTAGGGTATGGATTAAAGTTAATCGTGGCGTGCACCATCGCATTTCTTGCAGCATTGGCAGCCAGGAGAAACCGCCCCAGACCTGAAGAAGTCAAGGGGCCCCCAGTGGTCCTCGACGCTTTTAGGATGCTTTTCCGAGTGCCGAGAACCAGCGCTTGCAGCTATCAGGAATGGTCGAAAATCAAAAATAAAGCGAAGAGGAAGTCTTGGGATACACTCATTACGACGACTACATACACAGAAACAAAACTCTTTGCTCAACAGTCAACGGACACGTCTACATATATACATACCCGTAATTATATGCTGTAGGGATTCGCCAGCTGAAAGAAAGGAGGGCTGCAGATTGAGTGGGTATTGGTACCTCTACAGAAATAAGAGGTGGAATTGTGCCGAGGTCCCCTCGTCCTCTCGGCTTCAGCATTGCACCCGGGTGTCCGGTACCGATCCCACATGCGCGTGCAAGCTGCCCGGATATTGTACAGATATGTACCCAAGTACCCGCAAATTTCATGCTCATCTTGGGAAGCGGATCGGGATTTTGCAGGCGATGATGTAGTTTGGTGATCACCCCTGTGCTGTACCTATACTGTGAGGTGCTGTGCCTGTGAACATTCCAGCCGCCAGCCAGCCAGGGCGAGGACATATTTCCCAGTTTCCAGCGTAGTCAAAGCAAGCATGGTTATTAAGGACCGTCTAGCCTTACACGAGGAATGATCATGAAGCTTCGGACATGGTGCTTACAACCCGACAAGTGACGCTGTCTCGATAGTTCAATCGCCCGATCGCGTATCTTTAACAGATCCCGTGACGGCTTCACACCCAGCCTGTATTGGCGAGTCGCAACCTTATTAAAAACGGTGAAGAAACAGGAGTCGTTGTTGGGACAAGGACTGGGAAGTAATAAGGGTTGGTAGGGGTGAGGTCAAGGTCAAGACACCAATTCGGAGGTTCTCAAGGGGTCATAATCTTCGAGTGGAAGCTCCCGGGAGTCGGCAACTCACATCCTCGCCACTCGCAATTCGCCCTCAACGCCGACTCTGCTATAGTCATAAACAATGCTTGTAACGAGTCTCGTCGATCAACCACGCGTGGCTATTCCTACCTTAGTATTGAAGTATATTGTGTATGATAATCGAGACGCCCAAAACTTTAGTACCTCTAGCTTCAGCCATCAGCCATCAGCACCAATCAAGCTGACTTCTCACCGGTCAGGACATAGACAGCCTGCCTGACTGCCTGACTGATCCCAGCCTGATTATTATTGAGGTGACAGGTGGCTGATCCAAGTCCGTCGCAGCTGAGCCGTCATTGCTCAGCGTCAGGCCCATTGTCTTCCTGGCCACTGGCCAAAGGGCAGCCGATGTGCGGCTCCTCTCCTTTCTCCTTTCCTCTTCTCCTGTTGTATCAGGACGCCGAATAGCCCGAGATCGAGGTCACTTGATCCAATACGGTAGATGGGCGAATGCCAATAGATGGTCGGATACCTACTTTAACCTGAGTGATGAGTGATGAGTGAGAAGTGGCTGTGAATAGAACCTACAAGCACCGGCTGAGCACGTAATTGGGCGTCGGGGCGAGCGCAGCCCCTGGAAGCCCCGCCTGAAAGCGCCCCTAGACCACCTGCATTGTTTGTTTGCTCATGCTGGCCCGAGGCGCCCTCTCCCCTCGCAGGCCTCACTTTCTGTCTTTCCGAAAGTTCCTTTCCCTTTTGCTCCTTTCACAGCGGCATCGGCATCCATTCGGGGCGCTCCTTCGTCCCTCGACGCATGGATGGGATGCGAAGGGAAGGGACGATTTCACTCTCCCAGTCTCCCAGTCTCGGCTCTCGATCTCGACGTGATTTGATACTGGGCAGGCAGGTGCCCCCAAGCCACCCTAGGTAGTACCTACATGTAGTAGGTAACTTCAGGTTCGCTGCTGCCAGCACAGCTCCAGCTCTTTCAAGGTTGTAAGCCAGCGAAAAAAGAGTCATCGACAACAATTCCTCCTCCCCACTCCCACTCCCGCTCCCAATGCAGGTCACACATTCACTTGGTATCCGTTCGCCGTCCTCTGGTCCTCAAGCACCAGCTGTCAGGCGTTCATATTTCGTAGATAAATTGTGCTTGCTGCATCTGGCTGCCTCCCGTCCTCTGTCCTGTCCGCCCGCCTTCGTTACCACCGTCTTCTCGTCATCCTTCACTTACACGTGCAACATCCACCTGCAGTACTGAGGTCCGCATGTACAATTCACGACGCCGACCTCATCTACCTCTCTCGTCCGCCAGTCTGAGATACGTCTGGGCACTATACTGCACACACGCTGCAGCAATACCTACCCTGAAGGCTATGCAATACGCCAGCCAGATGGAATACAAGCTACATGCCAGTCAGAGACGCCCACCGCCTTGCTAATATAGAACATTCCACCATACCCGGTACATACTTACCTAGTCACCTCGAATTGTCCTGTGAGTATCAAAACTTCATGTTTCTCTTACACTGGACGCAATGGATACTTGCACAGGACATCACGAATGTCCAAGCACTCCCCACCCTCCTACGCTGTTAGGCTTAGCCGCCATGAGACTCAAGAGGGCCATCTCCCTTTTGAGACCCACCGGCAGCAACGGCTGTATGCCTGTAGCGGGGTACATCATTAGGTAGTGGGAGCGTCGTACGATGGATGTATTTTGGGTGCCCTAACTGCCCTATCCCTCTAGCCCGCTGCACCACTGCTAGCGGGCTTGAAGGCATCGTTACTGGCTAGGTACAGGCTACGGGCTATGGGCACCACCCCAGGAACCCGCCTCTTCTTGCCTGCCACATCTCCCATCTCCCATTCTCCCCTCTCCCCGGCGTCGCCCATTGCCATCGCCATCGCCATCCCATCCATCCCCTGTCCTGCCATGTTGCGCTCCGTCACCAGCCTAGCTACCTAGGTACATCCTTAGCAGCTAATAATTTCCCGACCCCCCGTCCGACGAACTCCAAGCCAAGCCAAGCAAGCCCGAGCTCCCTCGATCACTTTTTTTTCCTATTTTCCCCTGCGCCAGAAGAACATTAGAAAGCCTTCGGCCGGCCTGCAGTCCGTCACTGACACACAACCAAGACACTCACGCATGCACACACTCACACGCATTTCTTGGTCTCACACTCACCACCGCCGTCCACTTACACGCACAGTCGCGGTCTGTCGTATCACACAACACATACTTATTCACGCCGCAACAGCTCAACTGTTCAGGAACACTGCTGTGGTAATCCCGTGTCGCTCAGCCGCATCAAACGTCATCGCCCAATCGCCAATTGCTATTGCACAACCGCGCGCAAAATATACAGGACAGCGCGCGCGCGCATTAGTCAGGCTCTATCCCGGCGAGCACCAGCGGGTGCGGAACTCACTGCCTTCTACGACGACGACGAGCGTGCAGGATTTTGGTCGCAAACCCCGGAGCTACGAGTCAGCACATTGCGCCAGGGTAGCATTAATACGCCAGATATAGGGAAACGTCTCTCCAGAGGCCCTACCCAGCGATTTTCTGGCATACCGTCCAGGTTGTGGGGGACAACAGTCAATATCAATCTCGCCGTGGTCTCGCATCTGACGCTTGGGGGACCATCCCCCCAAACTGTGCATACCCAAATCAGCGACCTGCATGCTGCTTGCCACCTCAGTCGTTTCTACCGTGAGCTATTGCATTGCAGCATTGGCCCATAGCTCGCCCTGTTCTGTCCCAGTCCTGGTTCCAGTCCTGCAGAGCTCACTGTCAGGTACCTCGACATACTTGTGCCAGAAGGCCGTACCAGTGACAGGCCTGTACTTCTGCTGGTCGGCGCATCCTTGCCTCCAGGTCCATAATCGACATCGTGGACAACCACCGACACGTTCTGCAGCCTCGAACCTGGACTTATTTAATAAATAAGCGTTTTATCCCACGCCTCTTCTCGATCACGTAAGGGGTCGTGTCTCACCTACCTGGCTCTCTCGCTACCTCGCCTGTCTACCTACTTGTCCGTCTAACCCCTCCTGCCAAGGTATTCCATCAGAGCTGCCCGGAAAATGAGGTCAAACATATCAGCCCTCTTATGATAGACGTCTTTCTCATCTGCCCCCCTACACCACGCACCGAGCACGACTAATCACCACGCGTGGCGGCGTCTGCCCCCAACCATACACCATGTCTCCGACCTCAAATCCTACCCGCCCCAGCCCTGAACCTCGGCCTTCCTCCCATACGCCCGTCATGGCTGCTCAGGGTTCCCTATTACAGCGGGCGCGTCCATGTCAGGTCCAGACCAGCCAGGCCACCGGCACCTCATCTGTACCGACATCTGCCCCGGCCACAAGTGCCTCGTCGGTGGCATCTACTTCGCATAAGGACTCTCCCACCATGTCCCCGGAGCATACGGTGTTGACCACCAGTAGTTCCACCCAGCAGTCCCCGGACCCAAACCGCGGTCGTGGTGCCGAAGAATTCCCCCCTCCTCCGGCTTTCCACCTGGGTGATCCTCTCCTATCGCGTAAGCCCAGCAGCAACTCCATGAATCCCAGCGTAACCACTAGTCACGGCTCCATGGCCGAAGCCATGGGCAACGGTGGCGGAAGGGCCTTGATGAGGCGGCTCTCCAATAAAGCTACATCCAAGTTCTCCCGGACACGACGACAGTCGTCAGCTGCCCCCAACAGTCGAAATGGTAGCATTGGCCCTGGTATCCTTCGACGCAGAAGCGACAGCACCAACACAGCCCCCGCGGCAGAAGGCGCCATGTATACGGATTCAGATGATGAGTATCCGGACGAGATGAACGAGCTATACTCGCTCATTGGTGCTGAGAGTATGTCCCGGGGCGTCTCGTCTGGCAGCACCGCCGCCTCCATTGCCGGCTCTACCTCTACGCCCGAGATTCCGGCTGCACCAGTCGTACCTCTGGCTCTCATCAAGGGGACTTATCTGGCCAAGATATCCAAGAAGAAGAAGTTCAAGCGTATGCTGTTCAATCTCGAGTATGACACAGGCAAGATTGTCTGGGACAAGGGCCGCTCCTCGAAGTGTCTCTACATCGATGACATCAAGGAAGTCCGGATAGGATCGGACATACGACAGTATCGAATCGACTATGAGGTTCCCGAGCCGATGGAGGCCCGCTTCTTCACCATTAATTACTCCGTCCCCGACAAATCCAGAACCAAGACGATGCACCTCGTTGCTGAAGACGAAGAAACGTTCACACACTGGGTTACCGCGTTAGACTCGATATCGAAACACCGGGAAGTTCACATGGCGTCGTTGATGGCCTTCAATGACAATGCGGTTCGCAGCTTTTGGAATGGCGAGATGGCCAAACAGTTCGAGAACAGACCACACTCTAGCGACGAGGAAGCGATCGATTTCCCTGGTGTGCAGCGAGTGTGCCGAAATCTGCATATTCATATGGCTCATAAAGATCTGTTGATCAAGTTCGCTATCGCCGACACGAGCAGGACTGGTCGGCTCAACTTCTCCGAGTTTCAGGCCTTCGTCCGTGAGATGAAGCAACGGGAGGACGTCCGAGCAATTTATCGCGAGCACGCCTCAGATGTGGAAAAGGGCATCACATGCGAGGACTTTATGAAGTTTCTACGCGAAGTTCAGTTCGAGGACGTCGATAACAACCGGAGCCTGTGGGAGGCTAGATTCATTCGCTACGCCTACCGAGTCAAGCCGAAGGATGTATCCCTGCAGCGTGTTGATCGAGACTCGATTCGGATGACAGAAGAAGCCCTAGCGGCCTACCTTGCCTCGAAAGATAACGACCCCCTTGTACGCGAGCCGTCCGAATATTCGCTTGACCGTCCGTTCAACGAATATTTCATATCGAGTTCGCACAACACATATCTCGTCGGCCGACAAATTGCGGACGTCTCGTCCGTTGAGGGCTACATCATGACGCTGATGCGAGGATGTCGTAGCGTGGAGATTGACTGCTGGGACGGATCCGATGGGCAACCTACCGTGAAACACGGATATGCCATGACCAATTCCATCTCATTCAGAGAAGTCATCAACACGGTCAACAAGTATGCATTCATCGCAAGTCACTTTCCACTTTGGGTGTCACTTGAGGTTCACTGCAACGCAGCGCAGCAAGAGATCATGGCCGAGATGATGAAGGAAATATTTGGCTCACGACTTGTCACCGAGCCCCTAGACTCCTCTGCTGACAAACTTCCATCGCCGTCCGAACTCAAAGACCGCATCTTGATCAAGGTCAAGGGAACGCATCGCACTCCCGAGCAGCATAACGGAAGCGAAACAAGTGGTCGACGACGAGGGAACAGCTTGACGTCGCCATTCTCTAAACCCGTAATTCCAGACATTGGAGGTATTCCCGTCCAGAACCTGACTTCGAGCCCGCTTCTTGGACCTACCCAGTCTTCTCGGCGCACCATAAGCAAGCGGGTGGAGACTATCACTGAAGGCGAAGTACACGACAATGCTAGTAGCAGTACAAGCGATTGTGATACCGAAGAGGAGAAACCGGGAAAGCGGAAGACCAGCAAAATAGTCCAGTCTTTGGGCGACCTGGGCGTCTACTGCAGTGGCGTCAAATTCCACGGCTTTGACACAGCTGACTGCAAGAAGAGTAACCATATCTTGTCCTTTATGGAAGGAACATTTAGGAAGCACTCGAAGGCAGGGGAATCGAAGAAAGCATTGACACGCCACAACATGCGCTACATGATGCGTGTTTATCCTCAGTACTCGCGGTTCTCTTCGGACAATTTCAACCCGTTGATGTACTGGAGACGCGGCGTTCAAATGGCAGCTCTCAACTGGCAGACCTTCGATTTCGGCATGCAACTGAACCAGGCCATGTTTGATGGCGGCACTGACCAGTCTGGGTACGTTCTCAAACCTGAGTCAATGCGCCAGATCCGGGTCCTGGCCGGTGCCCAAAGCGAAGAAGCTATCGGCAAACTGGTCCACCAGAAATTGGCCTTCCGAATCGACGTCATCTCGGCGCAGCAACTGATGCGACCAGCGAGCTTAGCTTCGACTCGATCCCTGGACCCATACGTCGAGGTTGAGGTATTCCATACCAACGACAAGAGGGACAAGCATGACAGCATGGCCGGCATACCAATTCTGTCTGACACGCCGCTAAAGGTCGTTACGCCTGTGGTCAAAGAGAACGGCTTCAACCCGGAATTCAATCACGCCGCCAAGTTCGACGTGACGACTAAACATCCCGAACTCATCTTCGTCAAGTTCAGTGTCAAGCTCTCCACCGACGGTGAATCCTCTCATAATCGCAACACCACCATCGCGACATATACCGCCAAGCTTAGCAGCCTCAAACAAGGCTACCGCACATTACCGTTGCTGGACTGCAATGGCGACCAGTACCTCTTCTCACGACTGTTCTGTAACATCAGGGTTGAGGCTGCGACGAACGTCCAAGTGCCCAATCCCGAGACCGGCGTCGATCTAGCTGGAAAGAAGGGTTTCGCCCGGAGTCTACTCAGTCGGTCTTCAAATGCCAACGGTGCCAAACCGACAACCCAGGAAAATAAGTATAGCATCGACAGCGGGTACTCGGATACAGTACCGCCGACGGCGACTTGAACTTGTACAGCAACCTTTCCCTGTTCCGATGCGAGCCGGCATGTACTAACATATCCCTATTTGAGATGTAACCCATTCGCAACAGCCGATACACAACGACACTTGAGTCGATTTGAAACTCTAGCGGATACCCCATCTGTTCACACATAAGGCCGGCGCAACAGGGGTACCAGCGAATCGTTTAGTTTTGTTTCCAAGAACTATGAATTCTTGTCGGGTTTACTGTACTCAATATGCACCTGGCGTGCTTCTTGGCAAGGTCGAATGCATTTACCGGTGTTCAGGACGATGGAGGGCATGATAGATCTGGGAAATGACACAAAAAAAGTTTTCATTTGTTGATTTTTACAGACAGGCCAGCGTGTCGCTTGTGGGAGGGATGGCCAATGAGAGCCACGGCGTTCGGGACACGGCACGAATTTCCTTTTGACGAAGACATCTACATCATAGCATACAGGATCAGGCATTCATACAGGCGTCCTAGTGATGGAGCAAAGATTTTGGGTCAGTCGGAGGACACTGGACTGCGGACTACGGACGGCGGACGGCGGCATCAGCTTTGTCACAAGAAGCGGGAGGGCCTGGCGGGAGTCCAGCTTTACTCAACGTGAATCTCGATTCAATGTTCCAGCTTCTCGACAGGTCGTTTCCGAGGTAGCATTAGCATCCTAGCTAAGTAGCATTACATGGATTCGATAAAGAACCATAGGCGGCTCGCGCTGCAATCATTGAATCAACAAGGGTTGCAATCATGGCTACGACTACTCGGCAGTCGGCACTGCTCGACTTATAATTCCGGTGTGTCGTTTGTGATCTTGTGTGGTGGCGATACGTGATTTTCGAGGCTTTCCCATCCATGTATGTTGGGTCCGTCAGGCTGCCGTGGCTGACGAACGACTGACAGGGGCCAGGGTTATCATGATATGATGATAACGACATATCCCAACAACACTGTCACGGGTCGCCCTCGCTGCTAGCCAAGATCAGCCAGAACCCGGATCTCTACGCCAGACCACCGGGCCATGCAGACCTACTGTTCCGCGCCTACATCGTACACGAGACACGGGTATCCGGGCGTACGTGGACCTCAAGCTGTCGTGGTTCGAAGCATGTTTAGTTCCGGTTGATGCCGGCCGGGTCGGCGACGCACGACGTCTCTGGGTGTCGTCGGCGCCACACGCCAATACTCCGTACATACAGGCTGACCCGCCTTTCCACACCTTGGGCTCACTCATGGGCTCACTCACACCTTGGCGGAGCTGGGCTCGGCATCCTGTCTGCTGCACCGCGCTGGGCCTGGGATGCATCTTTCCCATGTCGATGGACCTTGTCACGCCAAGCGGGCATGTCAGGTCAGAAAACCCGGAAGGCTGACCCAATGCGGTATTCCTAGGCTTTGGTCGCTGGGATTCGCTTATCAGACTGCGGTCCCGCCTGCGAGACGGTACCAACTACGGACCCCGGACCTCTGGCCAATGCGGGTGTCGTCTGTGTCATCGTCGGGGAATATCTCACGTCTGACCTGCAGGCCTGGGTCTGGGTCTGGGTCTGGGTCTGGGTGCCTGGGTATTGGTAATCGGCGGGCGAGCGAGTGAGCTATCACAAGGTTCTCACCACAATGCATGCGCGACTCCAAAGCTCTCCCCTGCTGTCATGTCGGCCGGTAAGGCACACCGTCGTGATAAGCTAGCTGGTCGCTGACCTAGGTGAGCCAGTGGACGACGTTGGCATTGGTTATCGGATATACTCCATTTCCAGGGCTGACGGGAATATCGTTCGTTGCTATTGCCGGACGATAAGGAAACGTGCTCGTTCAGGTTCTCTTTTCCCCCTTCTACCTCGTATGTAGACACACACACACACACACACACCCGCACGCGGACAAAAGTTCCTTGGCCAAAATCTCACCGCATGCATTGACATGTCATGTCCCTCTTCCCCTTCTCGGACCAACCCAGGAGATCGCGCCAATTGCGCTTCGAGGTCTGACTCGGTTGCCCCTGGACCCCTAGCGTGCATGGGTTACATTTTTGGAGCTGAGAGCCGGGGGGGTGGGGCGGGGGCGCCCGTCCCGCATACGCACCACCACAACTCACTGACCTTGCAAGCTCACAGTTAGCTACTTACAGCAGGGACTGCTGATGAATGGGAAGAAAATGCCAGATAGATGTCGAGATAGGTATACATGCTCACTACGTGGGTGTGTACGGTACAGTACATTTAATACGCACACATATACGCGGTCCTAAGCGACCCCTGTCGCGTCACCTCGCGTCACTTCACATCGCCCTACTGGCCTTTGCCCTTTGGGAAGTCCTACATAGTACATACCAGTGATCTACCACCCCGGCCACTTTATCCCGTCACCGCTGCTCCCGGAACCGAGCTGTCGGGTCCTTCGTCTCCACCCTGATCCTGATGGCCTCCCACCGCGCCGGTGTCTCCCTTCCCCCCTCCCCCCCAATCTTCTGCCGCAGTACTGTACTTGCAGGGCTGTTCTTTCCCCATCACCCTGCCTGCCTATATCCTCGGCTCGCTGCCCCCCATGTCGCTTACGGGCGTCAAGGGCGGCAGGGGTAGATATCGCTGCTTTGATGCTGGGGTGGGAGTACTCAGTATGACACTTCCCGGATCTTGCGTGCCGATAATGCAGGGGATGTGGTGGTGCTGCTGGTCAGCAGGTCTACGGGACTACGGGACTACATGAGTCTACCGCACTGGCAAATGAGTCGCGGTACGGCACGTACCTGGTGTGCCTGTGTGCCCGGCGGACTGGGTCAGACGGGCAGATTGACTGAGACATACATACAGACCACCGGCCACGGCTGTGCTTCCGCGACTGCTGGCCTTATGCTGTGTCACTGTTCTAGTCACTCTCTCTCATTGTTGGAGAAAGGGTAAAGAAGTCAGCTTGTCAGCTTGAGTCTTGCAATAGGATACGTCGTTATGTGTCGATGTTCAACTTCCCCCATCCCTGGAATTGGAGGCACATATGGGCTTCTCTCACCGTACCTGGAGGAGGGACGGAGGCCCACTCGTCCCGAGGTCCTTTCCCTCCCTGCTTGCCAGCCCTGTCAGTTGCGCCCCTACCCCTGGCACGGCCGCGTGTTGTTTGCTTGCTTGCTGCGCTCTATCGCGCAGCACCTGTTCTCTCCCGGGGATCGATCACTGGGATCATTTGGTTGGGATCGGATGGTTCGGGAGTTGCTCGCCTTGCGTTGCCCCCATCTTCCTTGTCTGAAGTACCTACATAAAATTACACGCGTACATCAAGTACGTGCACGCATGTCTGCTTTCCCGATCCCGGGACTCCCAGTATCGTTGTTGGGGGGGCAGTCAACCTGATAAGGCGCTCGAGCTCTCCTCTGCCCTGCTAACCCCGCGATAGCGGTGCAGGGCTATAGGGGTTGTTCAGGGGCTCGACGACTTGGTGGGCTGATTCTTCCTGCCTTCCATGTGCACCCCCGTTGTTTCGCGACGTGTTCCCATCCCGTGTTTAAGGTGGACGGATAGCGAGACGTGAATGGACGGTGCGTCTTCTGCCGTACGCTCTGCGCTCTTGCGGCACATCCGGCACTTTTTGGGTGACCTTGCTTGGTCATGTCTTCGAGGGGGCCTGCATTGTCGTCATCCAGGGGTGTCTTGGATCCGACTGAGCCATTTCGGGAGTTGGAGTAAGGAGTCATGCTGTGCGCGAGGGTCCGTCCGCTGACGAACCGGATTCTCGGAGTCGTGCCGGCTCCGGTTGGTGTGCCCACAGGGTCGGTTGAGTACGGTTTGGACGTGCTCTTGTCCTGGCCTGGCAAGATTCCAATGCGTCCTAAAAATGCGTCCTAAACTTGACTGCGAAGTCGTCCTTCGATATCGGGGTGTCTCCCTGCCCCCGAGTTACAACGGTGAGTGAGTTCCCTCCCTTGCCGTACGTGCCGGATTAGGTGCATGTCTTCAACGGTCAATACCCACGGTATAGATCCCTACTTCGTCCTCGGACTATTTGGTTGAAGGGAGAAGTACATAGTCTTTTCACAACAACACTACTTCACAAGTGCCACTGATCTGCTCCGTGATATAACGGCAGCGCCTGAAACCTGGCCGCTTGTAGGCAACAGTATATTCATAAATAAGCCTGCACACCATGTACATTCAAGGCATTTACTAAAGTTGCTTGTAGAGTGTGTATGTGGCCGCGCCTAAGAATAAACGTATCAACATAAACTTTACAACGGCCAGCGCAAGTCAGGAACGAGATCAAGGTTATTCTAATAGAACTCGATACCACGGTTCCTCTGGCGCCCGACAGTCTTTGGGATGGCGGCCCCTATGATAGTGTCAAGACCTACGGGTGCTGCTGGAGCGCACCTCGACAAAGAGCAACGTGAGACTAGCGTACTAAAGGCGACGGCGAAGGAGTAGTTAAAGGTGTTTTAGCCTCAATAATGTAAAAAGCATAGCTTTCTACGCGCCTCGAGGACTAGGAGTGACCATGTCTCGAGTGAGTCCTAAGTGTGCTTGCAAGCTGGCAGTTGAGGTTTATATTCAGGTGTCTACCATCCTGACAACCCAACAACCCCTTTTAATCGAACATCGTCTAATACCAACTTGACATAGCCTTCAGGGCATTCTCGTGCGAGCCCACCTCTGTGGATTTTCTTTGTGCTTGCTATAACCACATTGACAAGCAGCTTCACAGCTACATCATGGTTCAAATCAATATTTACTTTGTGAAAAGAAAGCCTTTCACGTGTCCGCGTCCTACTCTAGAAAATCTGTTCCAAAGCTAACGGCTTTGGAGAACCGCATGAATCATGATCATAGAATTTCCTTCTTTGTTAGCTACAGGATGAAGGAGCCTTTCAACTGAGAACCCACTCCGGAACAAACCCAGTATTACTTCGAGGTATGGATTGTCTCGCACCATAGACGCGGACCAAACGGCCGCCTTGGTTCCAAAAAGCCCTCTTAGTTCTGGCACACAATGGTTTTTAACTATCGAAGACCCGTACTCGCTCATTTCAAATACAGGAATAAAGGATCCCCATAAAGCGAACTTGAACAATGACAAAGTTTTCGTTGATGGATTATGAAGCGACCGACGGTCGACCCTTAAATACCAGGTCTCGTGCTCGATCTGGTGGAATTCAGGTCATACTGCAGTGGCATCTGTATACCTTAACTATAACACAGCAATCAATTTCGAAAAACCATTTCGAGGTGCAATTTGAACTACAACATGCCGAAACCAGGCTACCCTGCCCTCTATGAGATCGATGCCGTTGGCTATGATCTCTTTATAGAGTATGGGGACGACTTCCCTCAATTCTGCCAGGTCGACGTGCCGGAGGACATGTTGTCGGACGACCCCCCGCTGCCGCCAGGGGAAACCGCCCTAATGACCTTAGGAATCACAGTTGGATTTCTCGTGGCGCCGTGTAGCCATACACCGCTTGCCAGTGATCCACACTGGGAGGAGCCGCGCTGGTATCAGGACATGCTCGATAACTATGCCTCGGAACCGCTCTGGGCATTGACGGTCCGCGACCGCATCCTTAGTGCTCTGAGATCAGGAGGCTTGAACACGATGCGTGCCAACGACCCGTGGATGTGGGCCTGGAATGACTCCGACCCGGACGAGTGGGACATGCATAGGGTTGCCGAAGAGGCCAAGTACCAAGATCGCAGTATCGAAGGCTAAACCAGAGACAAGACCTCGACGACGTGGTGCAATTATTTCATAGGCGACTGGGGGTGGGATAGAGTGCAGTGGGATCTTGCTGCAAGTGCAAACGATAACGTCAACCGGGGGACAAACATAGCAGTCCAAAAGTTTCTGGAGTTCCCTTTGAGGCATAGTATTCGGCTCATTGACACTAATCAGCGGGTAGTGCCCTATCTAGCAGAAGAGATGCGACGTTTGTTTACGGGGGACTGGCCAGAAGGGACAGTCGACACTATATTATTGCAGTTCAACGCCCATGCTTCAGCCCACATCCAGGTGAGTCTGGAAAACGACAGAAATCGCTCCGATGTGCCCGAGCCCGAGAGTATGGCCATGCCAGGCATGGACATACAACACACAGCCTGGTCCATCAAGCGGGACATGTCGATCACGGCAACCGAACTCTTACAGAATCGTTACGTTGGGAACCCTCACAGAGATCCGGTAGATATGTATCGATGGTTCGAGGCCAAGCTGGTGTCGCCCGTCCTCCCGGCCCTCAGCAACGTCACGTACCAGAAGATCCGCGACGCCTGCCGCGCTATACGGCAGGATATCCGGGTCCACAGACCGGTGTCGTGGACCAATACGTCAGTCGCGGTACACATCGGTTCGACCCACGGCTGGACGCTGCTCCAGCTCAAGAAGTTCTGCTCGATGTGGGTGCTGTTCGAAGACTTCCTCATCCATCTGCACCCAGAATACCGATCGACCGATCCCGGGCCCGTCATTCCCCCCAACGTCAGCCTGGACCCAGCAGAACGACCGACCGACCCCGGGCCCTACAGGGCCAACCGCCGTAGCATACTCATCCAGTATACCAAAGCCCAAATGACTCACGGGGGGCTCTCGGTTCAATGGAGTTTTTCATGCCCCGCGCTGCGAGCCATCGGAGGCTGCAGGAGTTCTTGAGACACGTACCGTCGGACAACGTGACTCCGGTCCAGCGCACAGCGCTGGAGCTCGTGTTCCTTTACGCTTCGATCAACGCCCTGAGAGAGGTCTGGGATGACTACGTCGAGAACCCAAACATGATCTTCTCTCTCGACGTAAGCGGCTACAAGCGGACGGGCGACCGGCCAGACCCCGGTCCGGCGCGCTCACAGACCGTGAAGATTAACATCATGCAGGGGACTCTGGACGGCGAGCACATCGGGCACTTGCTGGCGATTGTGGAGTGTATGGCCAGGTTCGCCAGAGAAAGCAACCCGGAGGAGTTCCACGACATGCTTCAGCGGTGGCAGGCCTGGTCGGGCCCCCAACCGAGAATCCGTGCGCTGGAGACTCTGCTGGGTGCGCCTGGGACGAAGGTCGACTACTTCTCGAAAGGTAAGATAACCGACTGGTACGAGTACCCCGACAAGAATGTCACGAATTGGATGGACCCCTTCATGTCGGGCGGTTCACGCGACGTTTATAGACGGCGGCGGGGCGAAATGCGCTGAAGAGACTACTCGCGACTTTATACACTCAGACCAATTCCTTTTTATTAATAAAGAACTAGTCGCGGACTGACCCTAACAACTTAAGTTAACTATTTCTATAATAAGTGTAATTTTTTTTTAATATACACTTTTAAAACTAGTATATATATTTAGGTTTCTTTTTAATTTATTTTGAATTATAAACGAGTATTATAAGAGACGGCAAGGCTGCTCCCGGAAATGGTGGCTCAAACATGCCATTTCGGGCACCTGCCCTGTCGGCCAATTCTCGGGCGTGCAACCTCTCACTGCTTTTCGCGCACCCAGAAATGGGAGCAACCCTTCATATACCTCCCAAGTCCACTTGTACCTCTTCTTCCCTTTGTTCAGTTCAGACCACGCTACGCCTGACTCTGTTACAGCCCAGTCTGTATTCCGAATAGCCTTTGTTCATCAGTGGCATCAGTAGCCTCCAGCATATTTATACCCTGTAATTAGCATATGGCTTTGTTATCACATGTGCCATTACAATATTATTTGTGACGTATCCTTGGCCTTTAAACTTGCGCACTATGGCTGTCTCGTAAGTCACCAAATGGGCCAAACAATTAACTCGTCGCACTCGACTTGGGCACTTCCATGAGCGCCCATGGAAGAAGTCACCAGATCTGTATAGTAGCACCTAACGTCATGTTCTAGCTAGGCTGTAAACCTGCCCAGTGAGAAACGGCACAAACGTTTCTGCCGTCACTTCATTACGGCCTTCTCTGAATTACAGGGGGCATGAATCCCTAATCTACCAGCTTGTGATGCTAGAAGTAAGCAATGACAGCAAATTTTCCTCATCGGGCAACTAACTGTTCGGGTCGTAATTTGACCCAACATTCAGCCGGACAAGGCCGAAGGGTCAGCGGCTCTCCCGATACCTGCAGCATATCACAGCGACGATGGAGCTTAGTAGAAGGCAATAGTCATCTCAGACATTCGGGGTACCCATGTATTAGAAAAAGTTTCTGGTCTCGATTATCAACATCAGCAGGGGGTTCTTCCGTGCAAGCAATACGACTTGATAGCGGATGCTCACGAGGGTTACAATGCCAATAAGACTGCCTCTTTAGAGAATTCTGTATCTATTATGGTGTGACGGCCTGTACAGACCTTCCCACATGACAAGTGGATATTTCCCAATAGGGGAAGGATCTGACCAGAGGATCCCCTTAAAGGGGCAACCTCCCACTGTACCTATCTCTCTCTCTCTCTTCCTTTCCTCTCTAGTCTTGATATTCTCATTAATAGAGTAATAGCTGCTTGCTGCAGGCCATGTCCCAGCTCCCCAGTATGCTCGCCGTGACATAATATCAAGACTCATCCACACCAGATCAGAAGCCTTGTCTTCAGATCACCATTACAAGGAGTTTTGCCTCTAGCGGTGGTAGGTGCAGTGTCTCTGAACACCCACCTATCCCAAGACTTTGAAGCTCTGTCTTCAGGCCTATTAATACCATCCCTTTACCATTCCACCTACCATTACTACCAATTCCGTCCAATACACCGTGACAATGAGTACCATTATCATTCCAGAACGTCAGGATAGTTCTGAAGGGACTGGAAGACCAGCCCAACCTATTCAAACATCCCCCAACACCAATAACCTTCCTCCAAAGAAAGAACCAAAGAGACAGAGAACCAAGGCACGAGGGGGCCAGAACAAGCCAAACACGCGATCAAAGGCCGCTTTGACCCACAGCAAATCTCCCTCAAGCGCTTCATTGTCTCCGTCTTCCTCCAGGATCACATCCCAGGACCCACAGACCCAGCCCATGGCACCAATCATGAGTGGTGCTCTGGGCCGATCAGACGACCCCTTGCTCTTCAACCTGGATGCGCTTACGCCAGAGCAGCTAGCCAGACTGCAAACCAAACTACACACCCGGATCCTGAGGTCTGAGCCACCAAGACACACAACAGAACGAGCCTTTCCTTCTTTGGAAACAGGTTCTCTACACATAACGACCCCTAAGTGGGACTCCCCAGCTTCTATGGCATCAACCTCAAATGCCATGCCACATTCCATCAAGCTGGCAGACCCTGTAAAGCTGAGTGACGGTCAAAACCCAACCTTTGAACAGTAAAAGAACAGTACTTAACGCAAGCTACGGACCAACTAGTGGCTCTTTATTACAAAAGAATCAAAGTTTGACTGGCTTTGTATGCTAATAGAAGGTGATGCAGTTATAATATTGGAACTATTCATCTCTGAAGAGAACGCCGAGTCACTTACTACCATTGAAGAGGTGTATGACCTTCTCCGGTCCTCTTACAGCAATCCCGACGCAGCTGCTCAAGCCAGAGATCAGCTCCATGATCTGTGGATGGAACCAGCGCAAGACTTCTACTCATTTTGTTCCACATGGGTTCTCTTAATCAGCAAGGCAGGCCTGTCCCGGACAGAATGGAAGTATGAACTGAACCGAAAGCTGACACCACCCCTGAGGATATAAATGATGGCTTCTTACCTTGACTCTAATATTTCTTTTATTCAATTTTGAAACATCTATTCTAACAATGCTTAACAGCTTGTAGAGATTGAATGAGTCAAGAAATAGCGCCAAAGTTTCTTAAAAGCTTCCTCTCGCCATACCATCACTGTGGCACCTGGACACCAGCAGCCCACCAGAAGCCTACCAACCCAAGCTTTGTCCAACCAAGCGATTGATACTACCTTCCAACCAGCAAGAGCATCACCTGATCAGAAGACTCCCCGTCTCTCTTCAGCCCCTGAAAGGAAGCACATTAACCGATCACGCACACTCCACTAGGCAGAAAGCATTATATGCTACTTGTGTGGCAAAGAGGGCCATATCGCTCCTAAATGTCCAGACAAAAGAATTCCTTATGTACATTTTCTGGAAGAAGACAATGAGGCCTCTTCTGGTCTGACCCAGGATGTTACTTCTGACAACGAGTCAGAAAACTTAAAGGCCTAGGTAAAGTCTCCCACCTAGGCCTCTAATGTACTATTAATCAACTAGCTCACCACTCCCTTGAAATTCTATCACTTCGATCAGACCTCTCTGGCTTGATTGGCGGCAGTACCTTTGTGATGACTGCAACTATCTGATGGAATGGAATTGCAGTGTGTGTGAAAGTTTTGATTAATACCGGAGCAGAGGTTTACCTTTTAGGCAGCTGTTGAATCATGAGCCCTTTGACTCAACAATGGGAATTCCCTTAAAGACATTTTGATGAGCCCGTTACCTTGAATGGCTTTGGCAAGGGATATTCACAGGTTGTCAACATAGCAGTTACAGCAAATTTCCAGATTCAGGGAAGAACCTTCCGGGAAGCCCTTATCCTAGAAGCGGAATTTGGACACAGTAAGAACTTTGACCTTATTATTGGCAAGCGGTTTTTGGCTGCTCACAACCTTTTACCAGACTGCCGGCGGAACCGCCTATATTTCCCACCAGAACTACCTTTCCTTACCAACTGGAAAACCGACATCACCAACCCAGCTTGCCAGTGGTTAAGGCAACGGGCTATGAATCCTCAGGCCCAGCAGGACATGCTCCAGAAGGATTCACAGTGGGAAGATCAAGAGAAACGCCCACAGAAGATACTACGTCGCCCCCAAGTGCTGGCTACATGGGCAAGAGACTATCATCAGTCCTTACAGGCTATAGAAGACCAGCTAGCCGGACGGGACCGCCTGGCATCCTTATAAAAGACTTCCCTACGCCAGGCTGTTCATTCCAAGGTTAGTAAAGACACAATAGTGAACGCTCTAGGCGCGAATATCCACCTAGTCTCAGGAAGTACCTTCTTTAGACAGGCTAGTCATCATCAGAAGGGGCAACATCAACGACACAGCTACGGAAATGTGTTCTCCTTTTCGGTATATGAGCTTGATCAAGCCATTAATTATTTTATTGATAAAGAGGACTCAGAGACTTAGCACCTGTTATACAACAGGCTTCCCCCAGAGGCACAAGATTTTATGGATGTGTTTTCCAAGACAGAAAGCAACAAGCTACCCCCTTTCCGCAAGGATATTGACCACAAGATCGAGCTCAAGCCAGGGGCTAAGACTCTTTGCCTGCACCCTTTATATAGCATGAAGGCCGACCACCTTATTGCCCTCAAGCAATATTTGACAGAACACTTACACAAGGAATGGATTGTTCCCAGTGGAGCAGAGTATGGGTCCCTTGTTCTCTTTGCCAAAAAGCCAAATAAAGGCTTGCGTTTCTGTGTCGATTACTGCGAGCTCAATGCTCAGTCAAAAAAGGACCGTTACCCATTGCCACTAATCAGTGAAACTTTGGAACGTCTATCTTGCGCTAAGCTGTTCACCAAGCTGGATATCAGGGCGGCTTTCCACCGAATCCGCATGGATCCAGCCTCTGAGGATCTCACGACCTTCCGCACGCGCTTTGGCCAGTACAAGTACAAGGTGTTTCCTTTTGGACTTTGTAACGGCCCAAGTACCTTCCAGCGGTATATCAATAAGGCCTTGTTCCCATATCTGGACGAGTTCTGTACAGCCTATGTGGAAGATATCCTGATCTTCTCTGCAGACCCATTGGAACACTGGGACCATGTCCGCAAGGTCCTCCAGAAGCTCCAGGAAGCTGGCCTCTAAGCTGACATCAAAAAGAGCGAGTTTACTGTCATATCAACAAAATTCCTGGGATATATAATATCAACCAGTGGCATATCAGTTGATCAAGCCAAGATTGCCGCCATAAGGGACTGGGAAGAGCCTAGGACTGTTAAAGAATTACAGTCTTTCTTGGGATTTTGTAATTTCTATTAGCAATTCATAGACAGTTTTAACAGGATAGCTAAACCTCTTTATTGTCTTATTGTAGCAATTAAGTACCTATGGACTAAGGAATAGCAGAGAGCCTTTGACAACTTAAAGGTTGCCTTATGCTCAGCTCCCTTGCTCTCATATTTCAAGGAAACAGCTCCTACCAAGATGGAAACAGACGCTTTAGATGGTGTAATTTCAGCAGTCC